GTCTTCTTTATGATAACAGCTACTTGTAATAGATTTCATTACATCTCAATATTTTTAAGTGTAACTTTTTAGAATGTTGAAAGTTTACGTACATACTCTCTTAATCTTTCATGTGGAAAAAAAATTAATTGTATATCGATTCCGAGATGGTTATGTGTTATCGCTTTTTTCACCTCTCGAACATCAATCTTATTAATTTTGTAAGATGTTAGGCATGTTAATATGTTGTTATCATATATTATGTTTGAAGTAGCGATCATACACAAGTCGAGTCGACCCTATATCATACGTTATCAGTCTTTATCATGTAGAATCCGTCTCCTTTGATGTTCGTGAAATTAGATAATTCACAAGATCATATCCACACATGTTATTTCCATCATCATTTAATGTTACATTATCCTGATGCAATAATAAAACAAATTTAGAGAAACTCTTTAATGCAGGATAACCTCAGCGACCTCTTCCTATATTTATTTTTTTAATTACCAACATCAAACATGTTTGGTCTTTTTGATAGAGATGACATTTTAGAAGGCGGTGCACCCAGTCCTAATTGGTTAATCAAGTTACATAATTTAGCCTCATTATACACATTAGTTTAGTATAGATACACCGAAATAAAAAACATGATTAATAAGTTGCACATGTGTTCAACAACGCATCTGCATCACATCAAAACTGAAACTTTGAGAAAAAATGTTTTTTAAGCGAACCCGTTAAGCACCATACTAAAGCGTCTGTAAAGGTTAGTTGTGTATGTGTTTGGGTGTAGCTGCTATCAAGCGTTGATAAATCCTGTGAAATTACAGCCCATTATATAACTGGTAAATACAGAATATACCATTGTTCTAACAGATCCAAATATCAAGTAGTTTTAGAAACTGTTGCTTTACAAACATTGAGTTAATATAGTCTCAGTACTAAGACAAAATATTTTTAAACCTCTCCCAAAAAGTGACAAATTTCTTTTTTTTTGGTTTTAATTTATTTTAGTACAAAATTTTCTTCTTAGATGTTGCCTTTTACATTTATAAAACTTGTTTTGTTTTTATGTCACAAGGCTTTTTTTCCCCTATCATTCAACAATTAATTGTCTCTGTGATTTCTTTAAAACAATTGTTAAGAAGTAGTTTTATTTGAAGAGATATTATCAATCTCACCCAAAAAGTAATTTTTCTGTTCTTTGGTGGAGATTGCCAAAAAGTGAGAGGTTCATTCATAAGCCTGGAATTATAAGTCACATGTCGCAGACAATGTCCGGCACAAATTCATGCTTTGTCAGGCATAGACTTGTCTGTTTTTTGTATTTTTTGTGGATACGTTTAATACAAATGAAATGGAATAAATAAAGCAAACACCCCCCTCCCCCCACCACACATACACAAATTTGGTAAATAACTGACCAATCCAATAAGACAAATGAAGGACACTGCAATTGCTGGTATTCAGTACGAAAGTTAAGTGGTTGTACAAAGAGTATATCAATTAACATGTAGTTACTCATTTGATTTGATATATGCGTTTATTATTTGTTATTTGCAATATCTGTGTTTAAAATACAGATGTGACGTCACCCTTTGATGTTGGCGTACCATTATTTCAAATAATCGTACGGGCAACTTGCCAATCTTACATTATTTATACTAGTGAAATATTGGACTCGTGTGACGTATTTCACTGTAAAAGCACATGTGGAGTGTCTGTATTTTAAGTCGTTTAATTTTCTCGAGCTTAAGACATTGCGTAATATATTGTAAAAACACTTGGACCTACGACCCTCTTGTTGTTGCACTATATTACTTAATGTCTCGCTCTCAACCATTAAACAATACATATTGTAGGTCTTTGTCCATGGATATGTCTTGTGGGGTTTTGTTTGTGTAGTGCAGTCCTCCTGAGTTTACTCTTATCGCTAACAGTTTCGATTCAGAATAAGAATCCTTTTTCAAGCATACAATTAAAATTAAATCATTTCTGAAAAAAATTTTGTATCCGACAACAAACATTTCATATAGTTTGTCTATTGTTTGTTAGTTGTGATCAGGAAAATTTTTATGCATACATGACGCCACGATACGTAAAAAATCAAAAGAATTACAAAACAATTGTTCCTTACTTTCCTATTTTTCATTTTTTTTACTAAAAAATTTTGTTTGGTTTTTAAGTCCAAAGTCATTTTATTTCTTTTACTTGAAAATCTAGGATATACATGTAGTCTATCTATTGTCCATAGGACTGATTTTGAACTGTGTTTAATACATTCCATGGCGCCATAATGTAAAAAATAAAACTATTATAAAAAAATTTGTTAAGGAATAGAAAGTATACAAACGTTTGACATTAAAAGACAAAACAGAAGTTGACTGGTACTATTTTTTTTTGTGGAGGAAGTATCGAGGGGATGACCTGTTGGCGTTATTTGGCAGACTATCAGATGTTTTACAGTACCCACTGGTAGCGTTAACTTGTGCTTTGAAGAGCAGCCACTAAATGAAAGCCAGATGTCCTCCTCTTAGATGTCTACCAAATACCAGCTGACTACCTTAAGTACTGTTTCCCATAGTCACATTACTGCTGTTATTTGGTGCCAAAATATAAAACTACACTTCCATACATCCTTTCACTTTTTCTTAAAGATACATTGTGTAAGATTTAGATAAAGAGCTGGCCATTCTTGCTATAATAGTTCGAAAATAGATAATGTAAAATGAATAATTTGAAAATTTCATTCAAATGACTCTGTTGCGAGCGAAGATGTTAGCCTTTGAAGGTTTGACAAGACGTGTGCAATAATTTCAACCACCGTACTAGTTGTTCGAAGCTAAGTCTTACTCCTCCATTTTTAGTTTTAATCAAAATATGGCTGAACTGTTCTAATCTATTTAATATCGGAGAATTCCGATGCCATCAAGAGTTGATTATGGCCTGGATAAGTTAATTAATGTCTAATCAATAATTTAGAAAACATTTCAGGCCTAAAGAAAGACCTGCAATAGGCAGATTTAGCTCTTGCATATTGTATGTTTAATTTCGCTTTGTGTTACATAAATTTTCATAAGACTTCTTGGTAGTTAATATATCAATGTTGATTAATTAAGTCTCTAATTATGGTCATTTCAGTCCTTCACATTTATGAAATTGTGCGGGAGCCATAAAAAGCTCCTGCCAATTTCAAAAATGAGAAAAAAGCCCATAATTATATTGGTGGAGTAATTCTACAATTTCTTGAATTAAGGAGAGCCAAATTGTATTTACATGTGTATGCGTTAATCTTGTTTAATATTCTCTTGATATGTTCTTATTGAAGATACTGCCTTACATTAGCATTCGATATCAGAATTAAAACGAACAAAAACTGAAAGTAGTTTATTAATCTCAATGTTAGGAATTACAAAGAAGGAAGTCCTCTTGATTCAATGTTAAAACTTGCAGCAGATCTTTAAATTTATCACTTCCGAAATTTTCATGTATTTATTAGCAGTAGAGATATAGGCAGGCCATATACATTGTGAATTAGAATTCATTCATCTTTTGTGTTTTATTTCATACTCTTTTTCTCCAAAAGAAATCTATATTTCAGTTCACTTCTGCTGATAAATGTTCCATCTATGTGTTCTGTAAGCATGAAAATAGAGATTAGAGAAACTACAAAGGGTTATTAGCAATAGAGGTATAGGCAGGCCGTTTACATTGTAAATTAAAATTCGTTCATCTTTTTCTCCAAGAGAAATCTATATTTCAATTCACTTCTGCTGACAAATGTTCCATCTATGAAAAGAGAGATTAGAGAAACTACAAAGGTTTCTGTGTTTATGTTTCGTATGTTGTATAAAAGTTTCAGAAACATTTTTGAAGAGTTAGATTATGTTTGAAGTAAGAGACAAGTACAATATCAAGACAGGTTTTTTGGGTTTCTGTTGCATTTGGCATTCTGATTACAGCTTTGAACAGATGTAAGAAAAGCTGCTCTGGTGTTTTGATTTCAAATAAAGGCATGCCTTGATCGGTGCAATCAAAAACAATGAATTTATTTATGGAATGTTATTGCTCTAGGGTATGCTTCAGATTCTTATATCTCAGAAAGTTTTTATTACATAGCCATAACATTACCCCATAATTACCTCCCTTATTTCCGCTATCGGTAGACACAGAATCTACTCCCAGGCTTAGCTGTCTTCAATATCAACCTTCTCTTATATCTTCAAATGCAGAGGTTCTTTTAATGATACTGTTTAGAAATAAAATTGAGTGAAAATTAATCTGTTTATTTTATACCGAGCCCAATATCTGATATACACAAACAATCCTGTCCTGAATGTGAGATTATAGCTTGCCCTAATTGTTCGATGAATTAAATCAACATATAATTATGACCCCCTCGCTGTCAAATAAATAATCTTTTTACTGCCTAACCTTTATATCGTATTCCTGAATTTAGTATACACAGTTTTTGAGCGAATTAATTCTGAAATTTTTTAGAATAACATTTTATGATCATAACATTTTATGATCATAACATTTTATGATCATAACATTTTATGATCATAACATTTTATGATCAGATTTTACACAATAAACAATAACAAATGGAAAACGGTTATTAATACAATTTGGCGACATTTTGAAGAGTGTTCTCTTAACCTTATCAAGCTAATGCAACATTTCGAAAAGTGTTCTCTGAACATTATCAAGCTATTACAAGGGGGTTTGGATGGCCGAATGGTTAGTGTGGGCACGCGTTGTATCATAAGTCTGTCATTGAGCCAACTGGAGTGGTTTTGATTCCCTGGTTGTACGTGATAAGGAGTAGGGTCGCCTGTCCAACCTTGTGGGGTTTTCTCCGGGTCCTCTGGTTTCCTCCCACTGCTAAAGATTTGCATGGATCTCTATGTTCACAACGTCCCCCTTGAACCCCCTCCATTATATTGGCTTTACTGTTGAATAATGGTATATAGTACATGTTAGTGATATTGTTTTTTCTTTTTTATCAATTTCAGTTTGGAGGAGTAATGTACAGTATTTTTCAACTTTAAAATGGCAATATTTTATCTCTGTAGAAGGTATCCATAGTGAATATCCCGCTAATGGTTTCCGTTGGTCACAAGATTGTCATAATGTACATGATACCAGACACAGGTCAGCATACACTTTCAGCCTTTATTTAATTATAATGTGAACTCTGCTAAAGTAATTGAATATATCTAAGACTTCCAGGAAGAAAAACTGCAAGTAATATATGATGGAATTATTTGTAAAAATTTAGACCCTCCTCCATTTGAACGTAAATTGGAGATTTTGGGGTAATGGAACATATCTAAAACTTCCAGGCAGTAAACTGGAGAAAACCAAAAGAAATCAAATAAGTCTAAAAAAAATGCAGAGTTTAGTTTTTGAGATGAGAGAGAAAACACTATTCCAATCTTAATAATCCAGTTACGATATCAACATTTTTAAAAGCAATTTTTGTGTGGAAGTTACGACCCTACAGTTCTGAAATTTTGCATAGAGAAGCCCCACATTGTGATTGGTGATCCTATGCATCAAAAAGCTATTTGGTTAATAAGTGGCACTTACAACCTTTCAGAACTATGGCATTGATGAGTGTTATTTGAGGAGTTATTTTTAAATATAGGCCCTCTTCATTTTGAATGCAATTGGGGATTATGGGGATTATGTTATTTTATTTCATTTAAATCTAATTTTCATGATTAGTGATGTTTATTATGAGTAAATCGGCTTTTATAAGATGAAAAATATTTGTCTATAAAAAAGAAAAAGATAACGACATAAATTTATTACCCGTGTTAAACCACATTTCCTCAAATTCAAAACACATTATTTGACTGCCCTTAAACATGTCACATTAAATTTCTGTTATTTCTCTCTCGTGCCATTGCTCGGAGAATAATAATTAATTCTACCCACTGACACGAAAAACCGACTATTTGAACACAGTTCAGTCTTCAAAAGCTACGATATGACATTAATGTTAATAAATAATTATAAATGAGCGTGTTGCGGATAGCAAGCTACATGTAACGATCAAACAGGCCAACATCAAGTCAGTTGACTCTCCATTTGTAAAAATGATAAATAGTAAAATGTATTGATTAGAGGATTGGGGAACGACTTTAATGTCTCTATATCAGTCGTGAGATTAGATAATGCTGATTGAACTAGACTTGCGATTGATTAATGTTACTGTTTACCATAGACTGCCTACAGAAAGGTGATATTATATTCAACCTCTTTGATCATTGGCGATCGAATCACTTGCGGAAATTCATGCAGTATGAGAACGGTTATGGCCATTGATTTTCCCCGATACATAGAGAGGTTTGCTGGGCTGTTGGACAATTTTCCTATAGTTCAACAATGACTTGAGGCATCACATGGCGTCACAAGCTTTTGATGTGCCAATTTAGAATTCTGCTATAATAACTTGCACAAATACGTCTTTAAAATCTATTCTTTTTTAAGCCTGAAACAATTTCTTTCATCTTGGCAAGTTTTTGTTCTCCCCAAAAGTTTTTCTTTGTAAATGGATTCCATATTTATTAAGTGAAAAAGAAATATTTGGTTTGTGCAAAAGCCGCTGTTTGACTTGAGTTTTGACGTGCAGTTACAAAAGGATTAAATGTAAATTTCAGACATGAAAAATAATAAATGCATTAAATTTTGAAAAGAAAAAAAAAAGAATGCTCATTAAGTGGTGGTGTTTGTTGGGTTTCAAATTTCTGAAAATATTTATTTAATATTTAAAATGTTGAGTGAAATGACAGCAAAGTGTAATACATAACAAGGTTCAGTTAGTGTAGGACCTCATGGTGACATGCAGGAACAGATCTGTTTCATATTATTTTATACCCTGAGGCAAGGCCTAGGGGATTGGGTGCGCATTGTTGCAACATTCCATCCCTTACAGAGCTTCATTTCGAGTAATATGTTTCAACTTTTCTCTTATTAAAGGGACAATAACACTCTTGCTGGCTTGACAGCTCTAGAAAAAAAAAAATAGCCTTATTCTAAGTACTAGATGTGTTAGTGTCTTACCTGTTGTGTAAATTATCCATTAAATCCTATTTTACTTGTCCAGAGGGTTCAAAAATATTTTTAAATCCAAGTCACATTTGAAAAGCTTTTTTATGTCAGGCTTTTCAAATCATTTAGTTGAATTTTTCCAATTTTTTAAATTAGGTGTGTTAAGATGAAATTTGTATCACCAATTAATTGGAATATTGTAAAATAGTACAATTTGTTGACCAGAATAAAGATTGGGACATATTATTCAGTTACAACCAGAGTGGTATTGAGCCTTTAAGTAGCTTTAGAACAAAGATGTCTTTGGGGCTTAAAAGGGAAAGGTCTGCTAAAGGGATTTCTTCCAGAGTCTTCAACCTTTCTTGAAATTTTAACCATTATAAATTGCATTAAAGATTTGATTCAAGTTTTTTTTTTAAGATTCCATAACTGCTCATATTAGCTATAGCTCCATATCGATTCACAAATTTGTCTTTTTCTTTAGAAAATTACGTCATACGAGGATGTTAAACTCAGAAATTAACTTATTATTTTTATGTTGAATTCTACGACCCTCCCTGAATACCATTTGGTGAAATATGTCCATTTGCAATGGATTCAAAATCCTTCAAATTGTAACCTAGTAGGTTACTTCCCTAGAATCAGGAACAACTGTATAATCTGGATATGAATTTAATTAACCAGCTACAACATTAACATCTATTTACAACTAAAAAGGAATGAACAAGATGCTGTGCATTCTTTATGATAAACTAATGTATCTCCTCTATATGTGTGTGTGAAATAGCTTTATTTAAAGTCCGCTTCCACCGTGGTGATATCGCAGACAAGTCCTCTATATGAAACTTGGGTGTAATTTATATGACTTGGTTGTTAAGACACTAATATCCAGTACTGGCAGTAGTTTAAATTTAATTAGTTACCCAATAAAAGATTATTGAAATGTTTCCACTAATGACTTGAACTAAACAGTTTATTAAAATGGTAAATAATGGTCGATTTATAAAGACAATGGATAATGGTGTAGAAGGAGCTTAGTTAAATACTAAATTATGAAAACAACGAGACAATAAAAACATTTATTGAAACAAGTGCAGGAGATTAGTGTCTGAATGTAGCCGTTACATTTATGGTCTACATTTAATTTAGAATATAGATGACAATATTCAATAGTTAATAAAATAATTAAAATTTATGAATGAAAATTATGGAAATATATTCTACAAGCATTGCTTTGAAATCCTTGGTTATAAAATGATGGAAATGGGTTGGATGACTGTATGGTTAGCACGTGCGCGCTGTATCATAAGGTCTGTCATTGAGTCAACTGGCGTGGTTTTGATTCCCCAGTTGTACGTGACAAGGAGTAGGGTCGCCTGTCCAACCTCGTGGGTTTTCTCCGGGTCCTCCAGTTTCCTCCTACTGCTAAAGACCCCTACGTGCAAGCGAATTATTAAAATAACATTGAACCATATGTTGTCCCGAAATGACTTAGTTTATGTCGAGTGGACAGTAAACCCCATTTCTCTCTCTCTCTCTATAAAATGAAGGATCAGAGACATAAACTATCAGTATTTCTATAAAATCCAGGTGAAAATGGGTCCGTAGCAGATGTGTATATGAAGTTAGATGGTTAATGGCTAGTAAGAGTCTCAAGGAGTAAACTGTAAAGTGGTAGAGAAGCCAATAAATAAATATATATATTTTTTACGTGGAATAGACACGATAAACAGCTGCCCACTGTTCCTCTCATCTTACAGACGTCTTATTTTTCTACCTGGATGCTATTTCTACCTTAACACTTAACGACTGCTTACTTCAAAGAGAGGTCAAGAATGATGGCTGAAGGAAAAAAAATACCTTCCGCATGTCTGGCTTTTAGTATCACACTCAATTCCTTTCTCACATTGCAGAAAATGTAAATAGATTCTTATTTTTTTTTTCTTAGCTCTTTTTGAAAGTGGGAGGTTTGACAAAAAGAAATAATACAAATGTACGTTATTTTACAAAGCATGTAATGAGGCTAATTATGATATTACTGACTGTCAGACGCGTTGATCAATATTGTGTGAAGTAAATGTTATATGTGATTGGGTGGGGGGGGATGTCGAATGGTTAGCATCATACGGCCTGCCATTGAGTCAACTAGCAGGGTTTCGATTTGCCGGTTGTACGTGACAAGGAGAAGGGTCGCCTGTCCAACCTCTTGGGTTTTCTCCGGGTCCTACGGTTTCCTCCCACTGCTACAGACCCCTGCGCGTAAGCGAATTATTGAAATAAAATTGAACCATGTGTTAGTCCTGAAATGAACTAGTTTGTGTCCAGTGGAGTTAAACCCCATCTCTCTCTCTCTATATGTGATGGAATTATGAATACTATTAGAGCTTACTCCATTTATGATAAAGCCATCTTTCTACCAGGTACTCGGGACTAAGTAAGTTAATGTCACAGGAAGATGTTTAAACCCATTATTCTTCTCTTAGTTTACGTTGCCTTTGATTGGCTTCAATAATCTAGTTACAAGATATGGATAGAAGGACTCACACACTATACCGCTTGCCTCCAAATTGAATTTCTGATTCGCTTGGTTAGTTAGTTATCTCTTGGCTCTCCTAGGACTTTTTGACCCCATAATAAACGTACAGTATTAATGTATGGCTTGTAGTATCGTAGACCTGTAGAAATAATATCTTTTTACCAATAAAAAAATCTAACCCGTAGATCTTTTATAGTACTGTATCATTATTAAAAACCTGCACATCAAACAAAATATAATCAAGTCTTGATATTTTTTAAAAGCATTAATTTCTGAATCAAGCTATGGGTACACTGAATCTATCTCTTGAAAGGAATATGAAACGTACAAATACAGATATTTACCCAAAAGATTTGAGCATAAATTGAGATGGTGGTATTTAGTAATTTGCGTTGAATGATTGTCTGTTGTTTTATAGTCAGCAGTGACTGACATTCAGAATTATTTTAGGTTTATAAAACAAATACCATTTGTAGGGGACCATATGTTAGATTTAGGGTTCACTTAGACTGGTTCCCTCAGACTTGTTCCCTTCACACATAAGTTAAATAGAGCTGGGGACTATTTAAAATGATTAGAAGTTATATTTGTAGGGGTTCAGTATGTTAGACAGATTTAGACTGGTTAGATAGAGCTGATATATAGAGAGAGAGAAATGGGGTTTAACGTCCACTTGGCTCAAACTAGGTCATTTTGGGACTAACACATGGTTCAATTCAATTTATTTCAATAATTCACCTACGCATAGGGGTCTTTAGCAGTGGGAGGAAATCGGCGGACCCGGAGAAAACCCATAAGGTTGGACAGGCGACCCTACTCCTTGTCACATACAACCGGGGAATCGAAACCCTGCCAGTTGACTCAATGACAGACATTATGATACAATGTGCACGTGCTAACCATTCGGCCATCCAACCCGCCTCATTTGATGTAGGTAATGGTCTACCGTACACTGATGTCGGATAGGGTTGAGTACAACTTGGATTTATCCCCTGTATGCATGTCGGATAGGTTTGGGAACCAGTTAAACTGATCACTTGTACACATGTAAGATATAGGTAATGCCGGATAAAGTTGTGACAACTTGGATGGATTCACTGTATGCATGTTGGATAGGGTTGACAACAACTTGTATCTATCCCCTGTACACACATATAATAGGGTTGGGAACCACTTGAACTGGTCTACGTTACACCATGATATTACATATGGATATGTCAGATAGGGCTGGGGACCACTTGAACTGGTTCCCCCCTTGTACAAATGTCTGATAGGTTTGAACTGGTCCTCTGTACACCTTTGTCAGGTTAAGGGATCCACTGTACACTTACAGTATGTTGTATGTACACTACAATTTTAAACATGGCCTAACACATCCAAGTACAAAACAGGTAGAAAAATCAACGATACAAAAATAAGGAGACAAGACAAAACCCTTTTTTCTGAAATAAAGAGACAAGACAATACCCTTTTTTCCGAAATAAGGAGACAAGACGATACCCTTTTTTCGGAACGTTCACTTTCCTTATTTGATAAGACTCATTGTTAAAGTTAACACATTTTCTTTCAACTTTTTTTTTACTATGAAATGATATTCTCACTGTGACATAATAAACAGTATGTAGTATGATTAATAGGCTAAGACTACTAATAGCTAAACTTTATTGTGTTTTTATTACCAAAATATAAAACAGAACATAAAATAATATAAAATATTTATTCTTCATAGACAGGCCATATGCTTTTATATTTTGTTTGAAATGAAAATGCAAGTCTTTGAAGAAAATGGATTTTGATGGTTTGTGTCAGATAAAATATGCAGTCTTTCATTTTTCTTTTTCAAAGATCCAGTAGATAAATCAACCATGTTTTATGAGTGTAACGCTTTATTGATTCTCATGCGTTTGAAGTTTCGCTAGATCAATGTTTCTTTCTTGTATTCAAGCGATATATCTATACAAAAACTGACTAACGGTGTTATTTCAATGGAAGAATTTTATTTGAACTGTTTTTATCATTAGTAACTTGAACTCTTAATGTTTCCCAGTTATTTTTATTACTCTATACTTTCACACTGAATACGAATGCTTACGCCTTTGATCTTTAATTGCTCAACATGCCTTCATATTTTTTCCGCAAACTCCATTACGCGAAAATATCAATGGTAATAACAATGAACGTGAAAAGGACCATCTACGTAAGAAAGCCTGATGGAAGTTAAATTGTATTTGGCTGTAAGAGTTGAGCTTGTACGATCGACAGTTTAAGGTCTAGCGAGTTATGTACGGTAAACTGGAGTTTGAGTGGATACCGTCTGCTCTGGGTTAATCCGCCGTCGGTTACTTGTAACAAGTATTTGTTCATAATCTGCCTCTCTACCCAATATCAAAGTATTTGAAGGAGAAAGGCAGCAAGAAAGAGCTTGTACAGAAAAAGCAAATAAATAGATTTAGGAGGCTAAGAAAATATTGACCCAGTGACAGAGTTGGCTCTATAACATGTCCCTCCTGGTTACTTCTAGTCCAACAACTTGAAATTAACAGACGTTTGTGCCCAAATGCCACATTTTTGGTTGAAAATGCATTTCCTAAAATGGCCTCAAACCGAAATCCTTTTATCTTTTAAAAAACGAATTGTTGACAGAAAACCAAAGTAAATAATTCGCCTTGTTATTAGTTTCTTTAAGATGCACAGCAAGTTTTACAGCTCTAATCTCGCCATGTTTGTCTTCATTATAATTCTCTTATGTCAATGACGTATTGCGGAGTATTGCCCTTAGCGTTAAGTTAAAATTAAGAATGATGCTTTTAGTGAAAGGAAGAAAAGTCAATACTTAAATAAGTAATTTTGTGTTTGAAATTCTTCATGGAAGAGTTTTTACAGAAAAAGCAGTTTGTAAATTACTTGCTTTCTTTACAAATTTTTTCCTTGATGCTTTTAGTAGTTTAAGTGATAGCAGGAAGACCACACTACACATAACAAAAAAAATATAAAATTGGATTGGTCACATGGACAATGTAATGATTAAGCTATACAAGAAGTGTGAAATAAAAGCAATGTATCTTGGACTTATCCTTAAAGTGGAGAAGGGGGGGGGGAAGTTGTCTAATGGTCTAACACATGAGCTTTTGATCATAAGGTGTGTCATTGAGTTAAACATGCATTATGCAAGAGGTGAATCTGCTTATTGTAGGTCTTTCTTTAGGCCTTAAATGTTATATAAATTATTAATTAGACATTTATTACCATGACAAGACCATAATCAATTATCGATGACACCTGATGGTTTGGATTTTCAACAGATTTGAATCTGATCTGCAGTTGATGATTAACCGTAAAAATGGATAATCGAGACTTTGTAATAACGTTAACAATGACAATCGATGCTAGTACAGTGTTGTTGAAATGAGGATTTCTCGCCTCAGAGTGAAGGGATTTATAATTTCAGCATATTCTCTGTACTTTATCTAGTTTTTTAACTATTATAGCAAGAACTGCCAGCTCTTTATCTAATCTTACATACTGCCACTTTAAGCAATAAGAGATCTGTGAAATAAAAGCAATGTATCTTGAACTTATCCTTAAAGTGGCGGGGTGAGGGTGGGAGTGATCTAACACATGTGCTTTTGATCATAAGGTCTATCATTGAGAACTGGTGATGTGATGCTGATCCCACACCAGTACCTTAGTCCGGAGATGACATGGTTTGTGTCAAGTGAATGTTAAACTCTCTCTCTCTCTCTCTCTCTCTGTCTCTCTCTCTCTCAACTGTATCATACAATATTGTTTGTTTATTTCAGGGATGTGTTTTTATCGACCATACAACCACAGAGGAAATATGTAGTGATTGTAATGGACCACGGTAATTCCATGAGTCCCACACAGCTTCATACAGCTAAAGCCATTGCTAAACATTTATTGGGATCTTTCTCGAAAAATGACAGGGTAAGTCAAATTTTAATAGGTGTCTTGATTCAAATGATGAAATGAAAAAAAGAAAACAAACCAACTTGTCAAAGTTAAATTTGAAAATATTTTAATGATGAGAGTATTATTTTGGATGTGGCCATGGTATTTTGTCTTGGAAGAAGAAAGTCCCAGGTTGTGAGATTGTTAAAGAAGAGATAGTGCTGGCTTGTTTATATGGTCTTAAGAATTTGTCGAGTTGTGCAAAATTTTTAATTCATCACATCTTTGTAAATACTGAAAAAAATATATTGCTTTTGAGATCCAATTTTCAAAAATGGTAATTTGCAAGGGATTAAAAATTCCTTAAATTTTGAAAAGGAGCTTTAAAGATACATTATGCAAGAGCTAAATCTGCCTATTTCAGGTCTTTCTTTAGGCCTTAAATGTTATATAAATTATTACTTAGACATTTATTAACATGACAAGATCATTATCAACTCTCGATGCCATTGGATGCTTGAGATTTTAATTAGATTAGAACGATTCGGCCATTTAATGATTTAATTTAAAAATGGAGGAGCGAGTTTAAGTCTTGAATATACCAGTGCTCTGGTTACCACTATGCACACATCTTGTCAAAACTACAAACAGTGATAACTTGGCTCAGAATAAAGTAATTTGAATGAAATTTTCAACATACCGGTATTCATTTTGCATTATCTATTTTTGAGCTATTATAACACGAATGGCCAGCTCTTATCTAAATCTTACATAATGCCTCTTTATAGAAGTGTAGAATGAAGCACTGCTATCCAGGCAATATTCCCCCAAGTTTAAACAAGATGGCGGGGTTGGATGGCTGAATGGTTAGCATGTGCGCACTGTATCATAAGGTCTGTCTTTGAGTCAACTGGCGTGATTTCGATTCTACGGCTTATGTGACAAGGAGTAGGGTCTTCTGGTTTCCTCCCACTGCCAAAGACCTCTACACGCAAGCGTATTACTGAAATGAAATTGAACCATGTGTTAATCCCAAAATGACCTAGTTTGTGTCAAGTGAACATTGAACTCTCTCTCTCTCTCTTAAACAAGTTAGCTAATCCCATTCTGCTCATGTCCATTAATTTGGATTAATCTGAGATATCTTTGAATATTTGAATTTGATTGTGTGATTATATGTTTTACAGATTGGTATTATTGGTCTGTCATCGAAACCTACGTATCCCAGATCAGATCCATGTCTGCTTAATTCTCTGGTACCAGCTACGTTCGAGACTCGAGTCTTCTTTAGTAAATTTGTTGACAAGTTGGAGAAAGTTGACAGTAAGTTTATTTTTTTTTATTTTGCTTTAATAGAAATTATAGGTGACCTCATCAGAAAAACTGAAATATGACAATAATAGTGGATATTTTTAGACTTCTCAAGTCCTGAAATGTTGGTATGCTCAGCAAACTGCCAATACAGATTTGTTTTCGGTTTTCGCGCTTTACAGCAGAACTCTCATTCGTATTTTCCAGTCTCGACTGACTGACAGTAAAATTTACTGGCTGGAGAACTTGCGTGTCTGTTGATTTATATGTAATAAAACTAAAAATTTCAAAGAATTTAGACTTAAGACACAATGAATACAGTTAAATATGGAGTTTTTATACGCCCACATTGAAATGTGTTTTGTATATTGTCGTCGCCCTTGTCCGTCCGTTATTGGCCTTGAACACTTTGAAATATCTTGTGGACGCTCTAGAGGCTAAAGTTAATATAAATTGTTTAAGATCATGAGACAGACAATCGAAACAAATTCTAATGTATTCTGATAATTACTTCATGTGTTATTACTTACAATCAGATTTTCATGTGTTGTAAATGTTCTCATTACTGACAAAAGAAAAAATATGCGACAACAGTTGTTGACTGCCTGGACGACTTAGCTGCTGTGTGCATATGTTTCGTTGCCTGGCATACTATCTATATATGTAAAAAGACTTATAAATATATTTAAAAATTGTGATAATGCTAGAAATTGTTATGTTCTTTGGAAAAAATATCTTGCAAGTCTGAGGTAAACAAAATACATAAAAATTCACCCGCTGGTTCTAGTTTATCGTATTACCACAAAAAAAGAAGTTGTATTTGATATTAATTCAATTCTAATCTAGAGTTCATGTTATTACATTAAATTTTGACTATACCTGAAATTGGCGTAAACAATTTCTATTATTTGTTTTTCTATGTTTCAGGTACAACAAACCATTCTTTAGGATTTGACACAGCATTTGAAATGATTGAACATGCGTTATTGAAAGGAAATCAGTTAGCAGGTAACTTGAATATACTCATATCAATCTCCCCCAATAAGGGCTGCCTTTAGGAGCCGTGGGGTCCAATTGCGAACATTGTCTGGTAGCCCCCAGATTGATAACTGATAACTAAGGTCTGTTTTAGTGAAATGATATGATTAAAATGACCAGAAATGACTACCTTTTTTTATTTAAAACCTACTTATGTAGAAAGTTAGTTTAACTACAGTAGATTACTCTTGTCTGGTACTCCCTTGGACACAAGGCCCAATTAGGAGCATGGTTCAATTGGCTTAAAGCTAGCCTTGCTCTGAATATAATAGTAAATGTGGGCTGAATATACAGCCCAACAAATTGTCAATAATGCGATGTGGGCATGTGTTGTACCTGACCAACAGATTGTCAACAGTAAAACGCAGAGGTTTAAAGAGCGACAATTACGAAATCGCAAAAATGCAAGTCTAACCAAAGAGCTATTTCAGAATTCACACTTTATAACATAGACTGTTTATTATATTAACCAATAGATCATCAGTAGTAAAGAACAAAACTCTGGTGGCCAAAACGTAAAAGCAATATTGCTGAATGCACACTTTATAACATAGACTGTTTATTATATTGACCTTTTTCTTTAAATTTTTTCAGAGCGTGCTATGATATTATATATTAGTCGTGGATTATTATCATCGTTAACAGAAGCTAGAGAAGTTATGAATATAATATCTGTACAGAACGCTAGATCAGGACATAAAGTAATAATCAACACATACGCTGTTATTGATGGTAAGTTCTTAATCTTCTTTCAAACCCAAACTTATCCCCTTGTGGGTTTTCTCTGGTCTGCTGGTCTCCACCCACTGCTAAAGAACCCCACACATATTATGCAAGGTCTGTCATTGAGTCAAGTGGCAGGGTTTTGAGTCCACATGTGTACATAGGCCTAACAAGGAGTAGGGTAACTTACCCATGCTCATGGGTTTTTTACCGGTCCTCCGATTTCACAACGGAATTATTGAATTAAAATTGTAACATATGTCAATCCTAAATTACCTTGTTTGTGACGATTGGACATTAAACTCCATTCTTCTCCTTCTCTGAATTGTACCTTGTATCTTCCATTTCAGTCATATTTTTCTTGTTCTGACTGTTTTGCAGCGAGATTAACTGAAATTTACCTGTACAATATACATGCCATAAAATGGAGTATTTTTGGAGTATCTTTACTTTACACAGCATTATTGCACAAACTGTCGGATTGTCCAACAAATATCGAAGGGGAACCCTGACCCCTCTGATCCCAATATAGTAGTGTTATGGTGAATCCCTATTTATTATCCATTACCGTCCTTCCTTCTCTCTGACTCAGTTTTGGTTATGGAACATATCTCATAAACTGTTCAAGATAAAACTTTGTACACACATCAACCTTTGATAGCAATTGTGTCTTTTGCTAATTTGAAAATTCTCAGGATTTTTTTGTGCTTCCAAGGCAAGAAATTTGACTTAGTATTTGGTAAATAAAAAAAGGAGCTGTATGTTGATAACTGAAAATCCTTGTGAACATCTATATCTACTAATTAATAAGATTAATTCTATATTTCAGATGGCAAGCCAATCATGTATGAGAAGAGTTTCCTACAAGACATAGCTTACCAAAACTTTCCTAAATATGATGTCAAATATAAACTTAAGATACCAGTCATCGTAAGTTATAAATACACTCTAACCTTTAAATAATAGATAATAATAATAATGTGAGTTTTTAGAGAACGAACGCCTATTCCGTTTACATAAATGTAATGCTCATGGCGCATATTCGGCTTTTAGAGGCATTTAGTAACTGGATAGAGTATCTCATATTTATAGAAAACGTTCTCTAATTTTTTCAAGCTGATATATTGGTAGCTGTTTTACTATATTACTTTATATATGTTCTATGGAAAATATCTTGAGTTCTAACTAATAACTGGATAGTATAATAAACAAAAAACACATACTAAATATATATGGGCAACATTTTCAAACTAGTATATTAGTAGATGTTTTCTACAAATATTGGTTTTAGTTTATTATTTTATTATGTTCTAAAGAAAATAACTTTGATAAGACGACTTATGGACATTCTTATCTCCCTTTATGTATTGTCAGACATTATTAGAATATATAAATATTTTGTTTTATAGAGAGGAATGATGATGGCTATAAATTCTACAAGTGATTTAAGTTCTAGTGTTGGCCGATTTTATCTACCGTTAAATAACACAGCTGATGAAAGTCCTGTATTCTCTCTGCCATATATAGATGAAGCTGACAGATGTAAGTATCAATTGTTTATATTTTGCTTGAAATGTTTTGATTAAGTTGCTTTGCATTCTAAACTTCAAAGAATGTTGGAAATGAAATGAAATGGGGTTTAACGTCCTACTGTGCTAATGAAGATGGATATACGTTATACAGTGTGCAATGAGGAAAATTTTGCCCGAACAGGAGGATTCTGGCGTTGACTAAGAAGTTCCACTGGATTTTCCAATTTTCCAATTTTCCATGGCACAGCAAAAGCATCTGGCCCTAGTTTCACAGGCGAAAATACTCCTGTCTTTGTTAGCATAGTTGGTGTGGAAAAGTAGGACGTTAACCCCCATTTCATTTCATTTTAAAAAAAGGTACAGTATTTGGAATCAGAAATATTAACAACTGTAGTTGGATAAATTTAACTGTCCAAATTTTCCAATCAATTTCTAGCTCACATTATTTTCTTACGTTTCATATAACTTTATTTTAAATGAAACTATTTTTAATATAATAATATTATTATTTTATATTTCAGCTTTAACATTGACAATAAGTCAGCCATGTTTTCACATATTTAAAGATGAATATAAATTAATTGGTATGGTTGGTATTGATCTACATGTAGAAGATATTGTACAAGATATAACATATTATAATCAAGATGGTCAATCATATACTTTTATAGTTACTACTGATGGTATGTATAATCTTAATAACTTAAAACATGTTACTACTGATGGTATGGACAATCTAATATCATCTTGATAGCTTGAAATGTGTTACTGCTGATGGTATGGACAATCTAATATTATAATCTTGATAGCTTAAAACATGTTACTGCTGGTGGTATGGGCATCAACATCTGTGAAAGGCAAACTCGGTACTTTTGTTGTTATCTTCGTTATCATCATCATCATCATCAACATCAGTGAAAGGCACACTCTGAACTTTCGGTGTCGTCATCGTCGTCATCATCATCATCATCATCATCATCATCATACAAGTCAGCAGTATCATCAGTCTTTCTGTGAAACTCCTATATATGTTGATCTCTGAAGAATTTTACCTTCTTTACTTCAGGATATACAATAATGCATCCTTCTTTCCGTCGACCGATGAGGACCAATATCCAACCAATGCATACAGATATCAGACATTTTGAAAGTGTTGATGGTTTTGAATTAATACGGAGAAATATTTTATCGTAAGTATCAGTATTTAAATATTAAAACAATTGTCATTTTAGTGGTTGTATATTTCAAACAGTTGAACCCAGATTATAACACTCCACAAAATTATATAAGAATTTTGGTGAAATAACATTGATGAGAAACTTTGAAATGTCCTACTGTTCTTCCACAACTAGGCTAGGGAGGACTGATATACACCATGTAGTGTGCTTTTCCATTAATCTTCATTGAATACCAACTGTAAAGAGTTCTTTTAGGCCACACAAAATAAATGTCTTGTTTCTCGGGCAACTGACAGCTGAAACTGTAGGGAGGGAGGGCGGTTTCTTTTTTTTTTTTTACTCATTGATGGTGCAAAATAAAATTTGGCTATTGCTGAAAATTGTTGGGGCGGGAGGGCGGTCTTTCTTTTTTTTTTCTTTTTAAATGAGAAAGTCATTACTTGTTTACGTTTTTGCTTTCCGTTATATTCAACTTTATTGTACATACTTAAAACATAAACCCAAAATCAAGTCTACTAAAACACTGAGACTGAACACTGACTGAAAGGAAAATAATTTTCCATATTTAATTCACATAATTGAAATTGGTTTAAAATAAAATTCCATACGACTATGTAATAGCCCTCCATAAAGACAACAATATTTTTAAAAACTAAGCCTCTTTCACCAGGTGTATCAAAAATAATAATCATGGTAAACAGTATTTAAAACTAAATCTAGTATCGCCGGTTTATTTATAATTATTTACCGAATTCTAACCAATGCATGTCACACCGTGTCATCGGTATTGGAGATTGCCGGAAATACTGTTTCTTGGGATATTCGGTGTTCTATCCGGTGTTTATATTGAATGACTATTTAAATCTAACTAACAACTGGTCAGTAAAACCATCAAATCGGTAATCCAATTATTATTTTCCGGATTATCGAAACTACCGTAAATGTGCTAATAATGACCCAGATTCTAAGGTATGCATTATGACGACTATCGTCATCGTATCGTATTCTTAGCTATAATTAATTAACCTGTTCTACGGTTCATTATTTTATCAATAGGATTTTCCAAACAAGGACCGACTGAAGCCGGCAATAATGAGCCGATTACGATCGAATGATTGAAATATTGTCGCCAATGACTTTTAACACGAATCAAATTCTAGTTTATCAGGGGAGGTAATTAATATCACGTGATACAAAATGGAGGTTCTTTCGATATCAATAAAAAAGGCAAATCTACCAAACTTCGCCATTGTTCGGATAAAAAAGACAGCATGTTCATCTGAATCAGTTTTAATACATTTGAATAGATATACATGTATGGCGGATGTAGGTACATGCGGGATATTTTTTTTACGACTTGCTTGTCGATGTGCGGGCGGGCGTTACATATTTATTTTTTTTCATCAAGACTAATAAATAGACTGCACGCGCAACCAATTTTGCGTGCGGGCGGTGCCCGAGAAACAAGTTATTTTATTTGTGTTGCCTTATATACAGGCTAATATGTACACAGAACCTTGGTTTTCCATCCCATCCGAATGAATAGGCTTGTTTCTTGCCAGGCTCTCTGTCTTGTCAGGCCCTCTGTCTTGCACCACTGACAAGGTGAGACCACTCTGTCTTGCACCACAGACAAGGGTAGACCACTCTACATTGCACCATTGACAGGGGAGACCACTCTGTATTGCACCACTGGGATCAAACCCGGGACCTACTGGTTAGTGGACATGGGCGTTACTTACTTATCCGCTGTGGCTTCTCTCATCCTGAAACATATCTAACCAAGGTGAGCATTTTCTTTTTCAGTCAAGAAGAAGGAGAATCAACGTTATTATTAGATTCAAATAATTCATCTGTAACTGATGAACATCCTACCCAACCAAAATTCTACGCTAAATACATGTGGAAAAAAGTTGACAACGCTCCTTACATAGTCGTATTAAAAGTCTTACAAGAAATTCAAGAAACAAGAGAAATTAGAAATATAGGTATGTTTCCATTCTATTACATTGATAAAGTGTGATTCCATTCTGTTACATTAATAAGTATGTCTCCAGTCTGTTACATGGATAAATTAAGCAGTAATTGTATTCCATAGAATTGTGACCTGTATATTGTTACATTGATAGGTCAAAAAGGCTATCATGAAGTTGGGGGTTTTGGATGGCCGAATGGTTAGTGCATGCGCTGTATCATAATGTCTCTCATTGAGTCAACTGGTGTGGTTTCGATTATCCAGTTGTACGTGACAAGGAGTAGAGTCGCCTGTCCAACCTCGTGGGTTTTCTCCTTGTCCTCTCATTTCCTCCCACTGCTAAAGACCCCTATGCGCAATTGAATTATTGAAATAAAATTGAACCATATGTTAGTCCCGAAATGGCCTAGTTTGTGTTGAGTGGACGTTAAACCCCATCCCTCTCTCTGTTCTCATGCAAAGTTTCATTTGTGTTTGATAACGATCAGAAATCACTAAACTTGTCAAAATGTCGTGCTATATGTGTTTAAACCAGTAATTGTTTTCCATATAAATTATGTTTTGTTTTTTTAATTGTGCTCAATCGCTAAATATCACTCAAGGATTAAAAGATTTTCATGTAAAATATAAATCAGACTATTTACCTTTCTCATGCAAAAGGTCTTTTACCTGTGATATTCTTGTCGTGTAAATTTGAAATTTCTAACAATATTTTGACTTGTTTTATTTCAGTGTCTAATCAACATGATCTAGTATACCATCGATTAGATTTGTTACCTCGAGAGAAGATGTGTTTACATCTAAAACAATTATCCACCTTAGATACTAGTACGGTATTTCTATCTGCCAGTAGTTTTGAGAAACCATTTGAACATCTCAGTGAAGATGAAACCAAGAGGATTGTACAGATTTATTTAACATATCTTAAAGACGACACCATGATGATCTCCAATCCTGGCTTAAAGGTTCGTATGAATCAGAGGCTTTATACACAAGAACATAATGTAGCCTTTTCATTGGATATAATTTGAACCCTCAACTAATGAAAACTCTACATCCTTAAAATAATTTAAGTTTTCATTAATAAGGCCCCTGGGCTTGTATTCCAGTCATATCTGCCTGTCAAATCACATGTCCTAATATTAGAATTTCATAGAATTTAACCGTAAAACAAAGAAAATACTGCAAATTGATAGCTTTTAAAAACACCTAAAAATATATTTGAAAATTGTCAAATTTCTTTGACAAAACCATCTGGCTAATTTAAATTTACCAATTGCTTCAAAAATTGATTGTTTGGCAAAAAGTAAGAGACTAAATGTCTCCAGGTAAGGTGATTGAAAAAAGTTGAAATTGGACATTTTCTCCTGTTGAAGATTATTGTGTTAAAATGGATTATGTAAATATATTTTGTAGGATAAAGTACGAAATGATGTAGCTGCTAGTACTAGAATTAATGATGAATGGATGAGACGATATCAAGCTAGTTCACTCAAAGACTACATTATTAGACGGTAAATATATGTCCCATTTTCACAAACTGTAGCTCTTATAGAATAAAGACATTCCAATAATAAGTGCAGGAGGACCGCACTAAACACAAAACAAAACCTAGGGTCAAGACAGAATACATGGACATTGCAAGAAATAAACAACATATATCAAATCAAGTGAATGGATCCAGAGGCCAGATGTAATCGTCCACTGTGCTGTATAGTCCCGGGCCTGTAATGGTACAGACTTCATTCAAAATAAAAAAAATGATTTACAAGAAAGACTTAACAGAAATAATACTACCAATCTTGACGGTGGTTGTCTCTTGAGAAGGCGATAGTCTGATAGTTGACGTCATGAGTTAGAACATCAAACAATTTAAACAATAAGTCTGATAATCCGGATAGAATCTCGGAAAACAGTACAGTTACAAGTTCAGTTGGGTATACATGAAACCCAATTTCTCTCTCTATCCTTAATCAAAAGTTAATTAACTTTTCTCGTGTAAAGATTATGTTTGTAAATTTTAATATGTTTGATTGTATTGTAGATACGTGGCGACACCTAGTGGAGTGAGTAGAATGTATCCAGGAACACAACTTGGTAAAACATTTGATCCAACTAAAAGAAGCTGGTTTGGTAGAGCTCTAGAATTTCCAGGTCATGTGACATTAACAGCACCATATTTGGATGTAGGAGGAGCTGGTTATATTGTAACTATCAGTCATACTATATTTGAGGGAAAGTGAGTAACATTTTACACTTGGAAATTTCTTTTAGAGAACAAATTTAGTGCAGAAAAAACACAATGTAAGCTTGACAGAAGATCGAGTAAGCACATGTTGGCTAGTGAATGACATCATCACTTCCAGTGTGTTGTAGCAATATTTTGGATTTGTGTAAAAAGTAGCTTCAGACAATGACCACCAGCAGAGAATTTGGCAAAGTTTTTTTTTTAAATACAAAAGTACTAAACATTTGGGGAGCCGCGGTGGCTCTGTGAGTAAGACGTTGGCTCGCTAACCTGGAGGTCCTGTGTTCGATCCTTGTTTTGGCCGAGAAAGTTCAAGGGGATTTTCCATCTTGGATCCCGCTATCAGTGGAGGACGTAGGGCCTGGCAAGGGACAACATTTAGTCACCCGAATTGCATGGAAAACTGAGATCCCATGTAAAGATTTGTATGCACATAAAAGAACCCTTAACAGTTGGAATTTGATGTAAGAGTAGGCCGTAGTGCTGATGTCCAGACAAAATGTCCCCCATAGCACACTGTATGCCATATGCCCATGTTCATTAGCCCAGTCAGTGCAGAACAGTAGGACGTTAAACCCCATTTCCTCCATTCAGTCCTTTACTTTGTCTTTAAAATTATAAATACTTTGTTATTACAGACCTGCTGCTTTACACAGTCCTGCTGATCGTGTAGCTGCTGTTATGGGTATGGATATAACAATGGGATATTTCCACAAACTATTGATAGATAATATACCAGCTTGTAAACAACCTACTGTCAGATGTTTCTTGATGGATGACAAAGGCTATCTTATTGCTCATCCAGCCTTTGTTGATCCCAATGGAAAAGGACCAGTTGAACAACAGCACATTACACATAAGGTAAGAAATGTTTAATTTTCAAAATTTTATGATTTTCAAAATTTTATGATTTTCAAAATTTTATAATTTTCAAAATTTTATAATTTTCAAAATTTTATAATTTTCAAAATTTTTTGATTTTCAATGTTTTGTTATTTCCAAAGTTTCATAATTTGCAAAATTTTGTGATTTGTCAAGTGTATATAAGAAAGGCTTAAGGAGAGTGTCAAAAATAATATACACCTGGGTCGGAGTCTCCCTTCAGTCTGCCAAACTTATAGGTAATTCGGCGCTGAGTATCCAGGAATGGTGTATTATGTATATAAGTTGATAGTCATAGTAACTTGGTGTTATTTACAGGAACCTCTTGTAGCTAATGATATAGGAAATTCGGCAGTGAGTATTCAAAAATTAAATATTGTGTATAATTTGATGTTATTTACAGGAACCTCTTGTAGCTAATGATATATTAAATCATAGAGGATTTGTACAGAAGAAACTATGTAACAGATATAATGATAGAACAGTACAAAGATTTTATAGGGTAAGTCTTATAACATTTTATAATTTTTATTACCTTTAATTCATTTTGTTTGTAATAGTGTCAGTCATCACATATATTTTGCAGATGTTCTTCAGATTTTTAAATTGTTGACTTACCCGATGTGAAAAATCTCCACCTCCATTTTTGTAACATCCATAATAATGCAACTATCATTAATCGTCAATTTCATCATTAAATACTTTGCCAAATAAAAAATATAAAGCACGGTTTAAATTTCTTGTAAAAAATTGGTTATTTTAAATTTTCTAAACCAAAACTAAGAAAAAAACTTTATTTTTTATTATGTATTTATTTATTTTTCCAGTTTAATACAAGTTTAGAAGGTGTATTAACTAACTTGGTTCATGGGGAACATTGTGCCAGATATCAGGTAAATACACAGCTTATATACTGGTTTACTTTATGGATTACACTACTCTGACAATAATCAACAAGAGATGCTAAGAAACTTCAGCATATTTCAAACTTGGCACTCACTGACAAGATATCACTCTTGCTAGTTGGAATTCAAACAATTGAATTGGGGCATTGGGTGGCCACATGGTTAGCGTGTGGGGGCGGCGCTATGTCATGAAATCTGTCATGGAGTCAACAGGCGTGGTTTCAATTCCCCGGTCGTACATGAAAAGTAGTAGGGTCGTCTATTCAACCTTGTGGGTTTTCTCCGGTACCTCCGGTTTCCTCCCACTGCTAAAGACTCATACGCACGAGCGAATTATTGAAATAAAATTGAACCATGTGTTAGTCCTGAAATGACATAGTTTGTGTCAAGTGGACGTTAAACCCCATTTCTGCCTGTCTCTCTCTCCCCTCTGTTGACCTGTAAGATAAGGGATACCGATCAAAATCACCGTTCAATACTCTCACAAGAATAAGAGATAGAGAATGAAATTCATTTTACTAGTGTCTGTGTAACATTTAATATATATTTCAGATAACATATATACCAGGGACTAATGCATTTCTGGGTATAGTCAATCATACATGCGAAACAGCTACAGCTTTTTGTCCTTGTAGTATGGTACGTAGTTACATTTTAAAATGGCTAAACTTTTTTAAAATTGTTGATTTCATTGGTCTGTATGTGTTGATTTGTTTAGTGTGATGATAGTATGTTTAAAATTAAAAGCCAGTGTGGGGATATAAAGGATTTTGTGTTTGACTGATAAAAATAAAATTAGTAAACAAATCGTTCTCTGGATGATTTTTCAATGAACAATTATTCCAAAAAGTAACCGATCAGGTATATTAAAGGGGCTAAATTGTTAATATTTGTGAACTAGAAAAAGACACAAATGAGTCACACCGCATATAAACGATTTGTAAAACAGTTTATTGGTTCAATTCAAAATAATAATAAATGTATTAAGATATGTGCCCGTCATGCCTTACATGGAAGTTCATCCAATACTTGTAATAACATTAGTTATGTCTGTAACAGATACGGTGTCACTAGATACGATTCATATAGTATAAAAGCAAATAAACTTTTAAACATAATAAATAAATGGGATAATACCAATGTAAATCAGTCTGATCTCAAAAGAGCTGGTCAAATTGTAGATATGATAAATATGCGTGAGTCGCACGAAATTTACTCACATAAAAAAGATCTTAATGAAATAATTACTTACTTATGCCTTGACTAAATGTATTTATATATATTGTAAATATTGTAAAGAAGTGTACACTAATGTACGAATAAATGTGAAATAAAATAAATAAATAATAATGTAATATGAATGTATATAAACTGATTACATTCAATCGTTCTGTTTTTACCCTAATTTCAAATCAGTTATGTTCGGCAAAACATCAATGTTGATTTAAATTGACAAATAATTCATGTTTTAATCTGTAAAGTTGATCTCCATTATTGGTGGAAAAAAAAGAAGTAAACAGTTGATCATAATTAATGTAATAATGATATTTCTTTTAAAGGTTGATCGTTTATGTTTAAACTGTCATCGTATGGAACAAAGTGAATGTGAATGTCCTTGTGAATGTCCATTAGAGATGGATTTATGTACTGGTGAACTTCTAGATGAGGAAGATTTGTAAGTTTCGATCATTTAATTAATACTCTGTTATCTTTGGAATATTGGTGGGATATTACTTTCCAGCCATCAGGAAGTATAAGGCAGTCCAGTCTAAATTGGTTCCTTGATTTACATGACACAATAATAATATCATTTATAAAGTGTGTTAATACTGAGGCACTGATTATTTACAGATCAGGGTTTTGAGTTGAAATTTACTGTCTGTTACTGCAGGGGTGAGTTAAGGAATTGTAGTGGGAGGTTGCATCAGGTCATAAGAGCGACTTTTGACCCTTTGATGTCAGACATATTTATTCACCAATCAGGGTTGACGTTTCTAGTGGGTTACCCACAGTTTCGTGCACCACTCGCCGTAACAGACTGTTTCATTGGCTAATCCCTAACATCATCCAGAACATGGGTTATATAACAACTCTTCAAGATCCTAGTGTAGTAAAGACAAGTAAAACGAAATTTTGAACTGTAAAAAAAAAAAAAAAATAAGATCTTTGTTTAATCAGATTTGTGCATTCATGTAAAGATTAGACTGGCCTAATCAAAGAGGTTAATGTATTTTGAGATGTTTAGGTTAGATCTATTTGATAAGGCCAACTTCCAGTTTGGTCAAAGGTCACGAGATGTAAACAGGACTAGCGCTAATACTAACCCTAACCCTGGACCTATCCCCAATGCTTACCCTAACCTACAACCTCGCCAACAATCGCGTGCCCTAACCTTATTTACATCTCGGCGACCTTGCCGAAAATTGATCTGGCCTTAATAAATAGATTTAGCCATGTTTTTTGAGGTGCCTATAATATTTATATATAATGTATATTACAGGAATCCAAGTTGTGAACGTGATCCAGAAGAAGAGCATGTTGTACTCATTGATTCTAGTATCACTGATAAATTAGATCAGTGCTATCAACCAAAATGTGAGGAAAGACAATCAAAAAAGTAAGTTCGTAAAAATCTTATGAAGTAAGAAGTCATCATATTCTAAGATTAACAAACTCCTTTCTAAAGGCTAGAAGCGAGCATTTTCTAAGATTAACAAACTCCTTTCTAAACACTAATAAGGGTTGACACTTAAATGAAACAGTTTATTTAAAAGGCATATATAAAATACTGTTTTATGTCGGCACCTCTGGTATTTTAATACATAATGATGAAGTTTTGTTTAAAAATTAATCTGGGTTAGTGTCTTTGGTATTTTCAAATTAAAATTCTGTTTTTATATGAAAATTCAAAATGGATATATATCAATTATCATTTTGGAAAAGATATCTCCATATATAGTGAGATTTTGGTTACACTAGAACAGGGTTTAGTAACAACTTGTTAAATTACGTCAAGTTTAAAGATGAGGTGTTGGTGTAATAAGAGGGGTTGGATGGCCGAATGGTTAGAGCGTACACGCTGTATCCCAAGGTCTGTCATTGATTCCCCAGTTGTACGTGACAAGGAGTAAGGTCACTTGCTCAACCTTGTGGGTTTTCTCTGGGTCCTCCGGTTTCCTCCCACTGCTAAAGACCCCTGCGCACAAGCGAATTATCGACAAAATTTAACCATATGTTAGTCCCAAAATGACCTAGGTTGTGTTAAGCGGATGTTAAGCCCCATTTCTCTCTCTCTCTCTCTCTCTCTCTCTCTCTGGTGTAGTGAATAGTACAATATTGTGTATATGTTTTCAGTGATTGTATGGGTGTTGTGGATTGTTCATGGTGTCAGGTACAACTAGATGGTAATACACCTATCAACAAACCATATTGTGCTAGTCAACGGGTGTGTTTTGGTGGGGTGATCGGAGCTCATACACCATATGGCGATGAAATTGCAGGTAAACTATCTGTCTATTTAAATTTGCAAAAATATGTACTCAGATTGATTATTTAACATTTAATTAAGAAAACAAAATCAGCTGCCAGTCATTCGGATGGGCCAAAAAACAGATCATGTATACACATTGGCGTGCATGTAAAAGATCCCTTGGCAGTTGGAATTGGATATAAGAGTAGGCCGTAACGCAGCTGTCCGGGCAAAATTTTCCTCATAGCACACTGCATGGCGTATGTCTACCTTCATTAGCCCAGTTCAGAGAAGAACAGTAGGACGTTGAACCCATTTCATTTCATTTAATTTCACATGGTAGTTTGCAAGGGATTCCTATTGCACTACTATGACACAAGGAGATTTTAAGTTCAGAAACATGTTTTATTTTTTATTTCAGCTAATGTTATGGCCCAGCAGTTTGATCCACCAACAGTAAAGAGTACTCCGGTTGGACCAGTAGCAGGAGGCATTATGGGATGTTTTCTGATCCTTGCGTTAGGTGTTTATTGTTATCGACACCACGTACATCGTAACACTCATCAATATATTAGTTCCATGCCTGATGCTACCAACAGAATGAGTCATTATTATAATGAACCTGAAGACCAGGAACCAGTTGAAGAACCAGGATCAGGTATAATAGAATACTTTTGACGTCTATAGAAATTAATTATCAAATTGTTCTGTGCCAGAAATTTCTTTACCTTTAAAAGTTTATCAAATCTTCGATATTAGAAATCAAATAGAAAAAACTATAATACAGGGTGACCCCCAAAAAACAGAACCCATAAAAATTTTATTAAATCCTCCAAAGTTCCAGCAAATTTCAAGAAATTTGCTGGACTTAAACTTCAGTCTGTGTACGATCATTCACCAAAGTTTCAGCTATCTTGGTCGCTTTGCATAAAAGTCATGTACTTTCCAAAATATGCTCCATATGGCCTCCGCGGGGATTTCCCAGATTATCTCAAGGCAGCAATCACAGGAAAATTCCAAAAGACGATTGTGTTCGAGTAATTGACAATTTCTTGAAATTTGCTGGACCTTTGTATGATTTAATAAAATGTTAATGTGTTCTCTTTGTTTTGGGTCACCCTGTATTTTAAGAATAATGTCTGCTTATTTATCAAGAAGCACAGTCTATACTTGGATCTGATCTTCGGACATTCAAAGAGAAATCAGATGGAGTTTATTTTATGTCTGTAATATTTATTTGACTTTGTTTTTTTTTTCAGGTCATACCAACTTTGTGTTGGCTTCATTTGAAAACCCTGCTAGTATATCTCCGTACCGAGTAAATACCTCATATCGTAGACCTGCAGGGGGTGATAGTGACCATGGTTACAGCACCATGACACCACACGAAGATAGTGAACATGCTAGTCTGCCATGTTTAGAACCATTGTTAATTGGTAGAGACAGATATAAACCCACTGCTCATGGGGTATCAAAGGCACCCATTCTGCCACCACCTCCAAGTATTTGCAGGAGAAGCAGAAGTCCGACGCCACCCCAGACACGACTATCCACTGCTTACACAACTATACCAGAACAAACATGTCTACCCTCAGGTTCGATTGGACCGACAACCACAATACCAGAGGCACCTCATAATGTTATAGCCAATGTACAAGTACATATGGTGGACTCACGTTGACATGGAAACAAAGTGTCGTCAGGACGATATATGACCTTGATTGAAAAGTTCAAATTTTTCATGTGCTCAGTAGGCAGTGACGTGTGTCGTGTCATGAAACCAAAAGGAGATATTAAATTAATATCAGTTTGATGTCAGATTCTCAGGGAAAAACTTTGCTGACAAAAAAAATGGCCGACATATTGCTGGTGTCGTAACCAAGGGACAAAGACTTGTGACTTAAAGAGAGTTGTGTAAATATTATGGTGATATAGGTATTTATTCTGACATTAAGATCTGTTCTGATACACTTGAGTATTATTATAACCTCGCGAAACTTGCTGTTCCTATTTTCAGTGTGTTAGTGACGTGACTCAGTGCTATTTATAAACTCATTGACATTTTTTTTTTTATTTTAAATCAAATTAATATCAACAGAAGTAAAAGTGGTGCCAAGATTTAAAAATAAAAACAGACAAATAAAATTTGTAAAGACTTTCTGTTTACAACTGTTGTTGGTGAAACGTGTAATGGTTGTATGTTGACGCAGTTTGTTGTGCAGGGACATCTAGGGTACAAATTCTACAAGTATGTAGGCTAATCCTTAAATATACTGGAGACAAGGTATCTGTATGTCAGATACTGAAGAAGAAATGTCTCGATCTAAAATGAATTCAGAATCTAATGACCTCATAGTATATAGTAAAAGATATAGATATTATAAATATTATATATATATATAAATATAAACTGACTTTTGTTGTCAAGTGTTAGAGCTGTAAATAGACCATTTGATTATAAGTCAATAGAGTTATCTTTCCTTTCCTTCTCAATTCTCAACCTGCATGTAAGTAGCCAGTAGTCGGACATATTGGATTGTAGATTGTGTGTGTGTGTGTGTGTATGTGTGTAAATATGGTTCGTTGTGTTTTCATATTAATATATATGCATTGGAGTGCTGAGTTTATTAGCTATCTAATGAGTAGTCTTCCAGATATAGATAGTAGGTCGACTTTCACCTGAAATAAACAAGAATCTCAATGATTTATCATCACAAACTATTTATTTGATAGTTTCATATTTTACATTAATTATAGAATCATTAATATTTAATTTTTCTCTTTTATCATTGTGATGATTATATCTGCATGACTAGAACACAATCAGTAGAATTTAAATAAGATTTTATCTCTTAGTGATGTAGCTACAGTAGGCATACTGCAGTGATGATATTAAAATTAAGTTGGGTTAGCAAACCTTGCAACCTGGGTTCTCGTTGAAGTCAGGTTTGCCTGAAATTAGCATTTCAAGGAATTCAGCTTTAAACACAATTAAAATATTAATAACACAACTTAATGGATTTACTACTTTTTGGTTTATTACATGTAATGTTTCAATACTCTTACAGGTATCTTTATCAAGTAATGAAATACAATGAGGTTTAACGTCCTACTGTTCTGCTCCAAACTGGGCTAATGAAGACGGGCATACGCCATACAGTGTGCTATGAGAGAAATTTTGCCCGGACAGCGGCACTACGACCTACTCTTATATCAAATTCCAACTGTCAAGGGATCTTTAACGTGAACGCCAATGTGTACACGGGACCTCAGTTTTTCATCCCATCCGAACGACTAGACAGCTGTCCTTGCCAGGCACTCCGTCCAGCATCACTGAAAAGGGGGAACAACGCCGGAAAATCTGGATGAACTTTCTCGGCCAATGCAGGGATCGAACACCCGACCTCCAGGCTAGCGAGCCAGCGTCTTACCCATCGTGATCCCCATCAAACAATGATCAATAACGAATAATAACCTTATAATAACCTTTATAGTACCTCCATGAATCAAAACATCAAATTAATACCATAGTCAAAATATTAAATTATTGTTCTGTCTTACACAATAAACATACATTTAGTTTACATTATAGTTATTATGTGTCAAAACACTTTGAAATATCATAAAAATTAAGATAATGCTAAAAATTATCATATTGTTTGAAAAATATCTTTCTAATCTCAGTTAAACAAAATGTGTCAAAAATGACTGGCCAAATTTTACATTCTTCTTTTGTGTGATTCACCTTAGCTCTTCAGAAAAAGGAAATTCTTTAAATTGTAAATTAATGAAATATTTATTTGTCATGATTGTTGATAAATAATATAACAAGTCATTATTTTGCTTCAGATTTCTAATATTTTGATTTTTATGTGCGAGAGATAAATATCAATTCAGATTGTTCCAAGTTAGTTATTATTGAGATTTGATTAAATTTTAACCTATGTCGTTGACAGATCCGACTTTTTTTTTTATTATGAGTTTAAGAGCATTCAGTTTACTTAATATTTTTAATGCCATAATGTGCAAACCACTCTTCTTTATGAGTATAAACAGTATTTTTAATTTTTTTTTAAAATCGAATCTTGTTTAATGAATTTGTTTTCATTTCAGTCATTATTTTTTACTTAAGAATCAAATTAGATCAAATCCGTTTATGATTTCATTTCGTTAATATTTGTACCTATGTTAAATAAATTATGTATCGAAGGACATTTTTAAGGGAATTTGATTGTGCCATGTTTTTTTTATAATATGTTTATATTTAAGAATTTAATTAAGAATTTAAATATATGTTGTAAGTAAGTCTTGTTTGGTTCTTGTGAGGTCTTAATCAGTGCATTGTATGTATTTATCTCTTTTCCCATTCTCTTCAAAATGGCAATAATACAGACTATATTATGTGGGGATGATAGAAAAGATTAATAAACTACGACACATACTTATGGGAACAGCTATTAATATATTTGGGTGACGTCCAAAAATATTAGTAGCCGTTTTCCATAAGTATTAATAAATGCCTCTAAAAGATTATGATATAACAGATGTTCTATTGTAGTAAATTTTGTTTGTATGTCTCTGGAACAATGTATGATACGAATAGTTCTGTCAACACAAAGTTTACTTCATCATAGATGTACCCACTGTCTACTCAACATAAGTTAGAAACAGTATGCTATCATATGTTGTACGGACATTTGAAAGTAGAATTGGTTAGTAGAACGAGTTTTACCTGTAGTGAAAATGGTACCTCATTTAATAGTTGAATCAGGTTTCAGGTGATGCATTTTCCTTATGCCAGGTTCCCACTGTCGTGCGATGCGTTACGATAGGATTGTTCCTATTGAGTCCACGGTCTGGTATGTGCAGATACGTTCGGATACGTTACGATACGATCAACACAATTTCTAAGACTGATTTTAAGATATGATCAGACCTGATAGGATCACCGTGATTACTCCCAGATAAAGAGCACTATTTCAATCCTAGAACGAATCATGATATTGGGAATCTAGCATTACCAAACCCTGCCCCAGGGCTCTAGTTATAGTCTTGTTGGCCGTTATTGACTGACTGTCAGTGAATTTGACTGGTTGGAGAACTTAACCCGCATTCAGTTCACATGGCATGTAATCACAATTTCAAAGAAATTGAAATAAATACAGTTAGATTCTTAGATTGAAAATTTGGGATGATGTTCACAATTCTTGCTAATCTGGAATAAACAAAATATGTTAACTATTGACAAGATGTCAAGATTTTGAAGTGGAAACCCTGTCAGAATATATCCAGTGGATGCATAACAGAATTTATTTCTTTAGCTATGATAGACATCTGTTGTGATTACGTTACCTTTTACGCAATATGTCTGTTTCTTTATCTGTATCTTTAACCGTTATATACCTGATATCAGTGAATGCTGTAAAGAAGCTTTAATAAATGATATCATATTATTACATGTATTGTATTATCTTGTATATATTACTATATTATATTTCAATGAATGTATGTAAATATTGAATGAAAATAAAACGGCAAAAAAAACTTTATACTATACAATTGGTCAAGTATTCTCAATTATTTGTAGGTCCTTTTCTTACAGGAGCTAAATTTCTTTTTGTAATTATTTGAAATAAAGGTTTCCTTATTTTGTGATCTTCTCAAAAATAAAAAAGAAAGAGTTTGTTTGATAAGGAGGAAAATATAAGAAACTTTTATTTTAATTCATTTTCAGTTTAATTTAAAGAAATAGGGCTGTACACAACATTCTTCCATTAATTGCAACTCTTATGCTATGTTCCCACTGTTGTTACGATCAGATTGTCCACGATCTGGTATGTGCAGATATGTTCAAATATATTTTGATATGATCAACATGATTGCTTCAAATGACCTCAATATATGATCAGATCTGATAGGATCACCACGATTACTCCACGAATAAAACCATAATTTCAATCGTAGTGCGAATCGTGATAGTGGGAACCTAGCATTAATAAGCCTGAGTGTATTTTTGGATACATCTATCTTAAGTCAATAGCAGCCTAAAGTAGGCTATACAACTCGTGCATAGAGCTCAATTGAACAGACATTTACCTAAAGTCAAAGAATGTCTGACGGAAGTTTAGTAGTGTGTATGGCCCTAATGCTCCTAAAGTGTTGATTAGTAACTTGTTACCACATTGTATTTGTAAGGTGTAAATGTGGCCCTTGCCTTTTGGCGTGGGCTTATTTTGTAATAAAATTAATTTGTGAAGAATAAATAGTTGTTTGTTTTACTTTATTGAAGATTATGTTTGGATATTCTGGGAATATACAATATTTATGAAAGAGGGGCAATGCTAAGAGAGGTTGGGGAGAGCGTTGATAAAATCAGGGTCTGAAATACAATTTATACCAGATAATAAGAGGGGGTTGATGGAATCGGGGCCTGAAATACATTTTATACCTGATAATAAGAGAGGTTGGAAAGGGGGTTGATGAAATCAGGACCTGAAATACCATTTATACCTGATTATTTATGGCTGATTTTATCACATTCTAGAAGGCAACAAACAAAAGCAAAATAAAATGTATTTTAATTCCACTCCCCTGTGCTTCTGGATACGTAAGCAAGAAAACGTTTATATTTTCACTCATGCTACGCATTCGTGAAAATATAAGTTTTCTTGCTTCTTGATGAAATAAAATATGTTATTCACTCTAAAACGACAAATATCCTCTATATATTATATAAATATAAATTTTAGGTGTTCAATCTCTTTACGTTAGCATACCGAACGGCTCGGTGCTCTCTAGTCTCACCGCATATTTCCTTTATCTTTATCCTGAAATAACTTATTAACTGTTTCCACGATAAATTCGGACAACAATCTGGCAAACCTCCTTCTAATCACGAAGGGTCCCTTACACTTATTGTGATAACAAGAATTATTTTCATACAACAAAAAACTAAACCTGGAACGAGTCTTCATGGATTATGTACAACAAATTGTTCAATATTGATGATGCGATTTCAAGTCTTCTTCGCTCACGTCGGAATCCATCGAAAGGATATTGAAATGGTAGCCCGTTTGAAAGAATTGACGTCATATAGATCTATATTTAGACGCAACGGAGACCACCATTCGTGTTTTCATTGTGGTAAACTAACTTTTGTTACAGTTACAGTCTTCATTTCGCCTGCCTTTACTTAGAATCAACGAATGGTTTATTGTATTAAAAAGATAAGACAAAGGGGCCTAAAGTTGTAAAGGTGGTTAGATGATGTGATGTTTGAAGTCGTCAACGTCGACGTCTACACCAAGGCCAAGATTTATTTTCAGAAAGGGCCAAGTCGATGAAGTTCAAGCATATTTATCGTGACTTGTCTAGTCTAGATCGAACATAATTATTTTAATAAGCCAATTTATCATACTGGTAGTGGTAGACCTGCTAGCTCTCTTGAGTCTAAGTCTGACGCTCACTGACGCTCTGTTTGTTTCATTTATAAATTATATATCTTCTATAATGTTCCTTTGTATAGTTTATCTCCCCATCACAAAGAAAAACGGGAGCTGCTGTAATTCAGTGAGTATGGCACTGGCTCACACTTACCTGGAGGTCCCGGATTTGATTCCATTGTTGGCAGAGAAAGTTCCTATGCTATGAATTTTCCGGCGTGGTTTCCCCTTGGAATGGAAGCGGTGCAGGACCAATCTGCACGTAAAAAAGCCTGGACAGTTGGAATTAGAATTAAGCAGGCCGTTGCTCTGGTGTCCAGGCAGAATTTCCCTCATGACACACTGCATGGCATAGGCCTATGCCCGTTTTACTTAGCCCAGATGGTGCAGAAAAGTAGTAGGTTAATAAACCTCATTTTATTTTGCTATAAATCATGATGTAAAAATTTTTAATTACAGGAATGGGAAATGTTTATAATGAATAGTTTATAGGCCTAAAGTAGATTGAAAGATGGACATGACAGAGAGAATTCACTGTATTAATATTACAAATTATAACCTAACAAGTATGTAGGCCTATAGATACCCCACTTCCCGGTCAAAATATTTAAAATGGCTAGATTTTATATGTTGATTTATTCTCTAGGATGACAATATGTCTTCTATTACGGGGGTTGGATGGCCGAATGGTTAAGGTGTGTGCGCTGTATCATAAGGTCTGTCATTGAGTCAACTGGCGTGGTTTCAATTCCCCGGTTGTACGTGACAAGAAATAGGGTTGGCTGTCCAACCTCGTGAGTTTTCTCCGGGTCCCCTGGTTTCCTCCTACTGCTAAAGACCCCTACGCGCAAGCGAATTATTGAAATAAAATTAAACCATATGATAGTCCCGAAATGACCTAGTTTGTGTCAAGTGGACGTTAAACCACATTTCTCTCTCTTCGATGAATATTTTACATCAATTGATAAAGCCAGTGTTTGTTCCACTATTGATGCAAGAAAGTAAAATTTATGCTGAAAATAGAAAACAAGCTGGCTTCTGTTTGATCATTAGAGACACAACTTAATTGCATAGAGCTTGCTCCTTCACTAATCAAGTGGCTCAGTGATTAGTACGTTGGCTCACTAACTTGGAGGTTCTGTGTGCGATCCCTGCTTTTGCTGAGAAAGTTCTATGGGGTTTTCCGGCGTGGATCCACCTTGTCAGTGGTGCAAGAAAGAGGGCCTGGCAATGGACAACGTATAGTCATTTGGATGGGAAGTAAAACCTAAGTTCTGCGTACATATTGCATGCATGTAATAGATCCCTTGGCAGTTAGAATTTAATATAAAAGTAGGCCGTAGCGCTGCTTTCCGGGACAAATGTCGCTTAAAGAACACTGTATGGCAGAACAGTAGGATGTTAAACCCCATTTCAAAATAACAAATTAGATCAATCTAATTCAATAATTTATTTTGACCCAAATAAAGGAGGTTTATCTCAATAATACCTACATACATACAACACTACATACAATTATGATATACTAATTATAATCTGGACTTCATTTCCAGTGGCAACAATTTCACACTGAATAACTTCTGTACAGAATGTTGTTTCTTTTTTATGATAAGGTCAGTCATTGAGTCAAGTGGCATCATTTCAATTCCGCACATGTACCTAACAATGAGTAGGGACGCCTACTTAACCTCATGGGTTGTCTTCCCCTGCTAAAGACCCCTATGCCCAAGCTAATTATTGAAATAAAATTGTACCATATGTTAGTCATGAAATGACCTAGTTTGTATTGGGTAACTGTTATATACCCCATTTCTCTCTCCCTTTTAATGATGTTTATGATTTAACAGCTATCATTTGAAAAAGGGTCATATTACCCGAAACAAAGTTCTTATTGCAACTTAAAATCTGTTTGTACTACTGTTGAGCGGGGATTTTTATATTTTCTATTAAGGTTATGATTTGTTTTTGAAGCTGAATAATTATAGATTGGATTTAAAAATATGATCTTATATATTTCAGATGGACTATTCTATAACAAAAGTACAGAATGTGTTGGTTGTTTCTTCTATCAGAACTGTCTACCTAATAATGAATGTCTGGAAGGCAGTACAGGTCTAACATGTGAAGTTTGTGATAATGAAAAAAGTAGGAAAAAAACGTTTGTAATTCTTGATCAGTCTTACTTTCCCCATAGCTTATCTTTGATTATGATTTTAACAGAAGAAATAGTTTGAAAATCACAAAATAGTTTATGATCTGTATCTAATTTTAGCATTTCCGTTGAGTCGTAATATGTCACCTTACACACCAATCTGATTAAGATACAGATCTATATTTCGTTTTTTTTTTATACTTTCGATGGCCTACACTACATGAAGATCTGGCCGGTTGTACTGGAAGGTCGCGTCAGGGTTTGTACGAGCGGCTATTGACCCTATGATGTCAGACTGCTTCATTGGCTAATCCCTCACTTCAACCAGAACACCGGTAATATAACAACTCTTCCAGATCCTAGTGTAGTAAAGACAAGTAAAACAAAATTTTGAACTATAAAAAACGAAAAGAAATAGGATCTGTGTTTTAATCAGATTATGTTACACACACACTTTTTATCAGATGGCTGTCCATGATTGTGAATAGCTCAGCCCAAGATTTGATTTCAACTTCCAAAGACCAGTCTATAGAAAATTTGTTCATATGACACTGATGATATATTAGATTAATGAATTATCGAAGCATTGCATATATGTGCATTTTTTTTTTTTTCAGATTATTTTTTATTTGGTAATTCCTGTATTAAATGTGAAGAGATACCATGGAGTGCTGTAGCATTTGGTGTTTTTATATTGATAATAATAGCTTCCATAATACATAAAGGTTTTACAGCACAACTTATTACAAAGGTAAAACACTGATGACTATTATTGATTTTCTTAATTATCTCCCTTGACACAATAACCAAAGGGGAGGGAGAGAGAGAGAGAAATCGGGTTTAACATCCACTCGACACAAAGTAGGTCATTTCGGGACTAACATATGGTTCAGTCTTATTTCAATAATTCGCTTGCGCCTAGGAGTCTTTAGCAGTGGGAGGAAACCGGGGGACCCATAGAAAACCCACGAGGTTGAACAGGCGACCCTACCACAAGATGTTGTTGTTAGACCACATGGTGCTGAAAATAAATATTATTATTACACAGTTACAACAAGATGATGTTGTTAGACCACATGGTGTTGAAAATCAAAGTACTTACATAGACATATATATATATATATATACGTTCTAACATCTTAATCAAAGTGTAAAACTATCTGACAGGCAATGTGATATACACATAAAGTAGATTAGAGTTTTATACGATATCTCCTAGTTTTCCAAATATGGAAACAAATTCCATGCATTTGGCCAATCACGTAGTTAGTAAATTGTTAATTCCGGGATGTCAGGCGTATAAAAGAGTGGGTGATCTCGATGATATCACTTCTGTGGAAGCGGACGTTAAAACACCAGGTAGTAGTAGTAGATGTTGGTCCCAGGAGCAACGCCTTTGGATGGACCCTATATGATAATACAAACTATACCTTGGACGCTACTCCTCAAAAGGTGTTGTGTCTTTATCTAAATGTTTTGAAACGATTTCTATATTAATGAATATATTAAATAGTTCCCTCCAAATTCCCATCATACTAAGCAGCATGACGCTATTTTTTTTAGAATTCCTTAGCATTTTTTAAAGTACTCTTGAATACTTTGTATAATTTGTAAGAATTAATGAATAGAATAGAGTTGAAAATAGCACCAAGTAGATTTAGAGAATCATTTGTAGATCTTAATATATATTTTCATTTAGTTTTTATAGTGAACAATGTTAATTAATAAATGGGTCGTAGTGGCCCATTGTCTGTGGTACCTTGTGTGTGTGGGGAGAAGTCCTGTCATAACGTAATTTGAACTTACTTGGAGACAGGAATTTTATTCATGGGACATAACTACATTTAAAATCCTACGTAAACAAATCGAAAGTAGTAGAAGGAACGGATGAATTTGTATGAAAAGTAAGATAATATTGTAATGAATCGCAGTGTATTTAGTTTGAATCGCAGTTTATTTAGTTTGAATCGCAGTTTATTGTCAGTGAATCGCAGTTTATCAATTACCAGATTTCATAGTAAAATTGAACTTTGTAGAAAATAGAATTGACAACTGGAGAATATTATAGTGGAATATATATAAAGCTGTGAGGGTGGGGGGGGGGGGGTAAACGTCCACTCGACACGACACAAACCAGGTCATTTCACGCTTTGTCAGTAGGGGTAATCCACGAGGTTGGACAGGCGATCATCCTGCTTGTCATGTTCAAGTTAAGTGGGGAATCCAACCCGAGCCACTTGAATCAATGACAGATCTAACGCTGTAAAACACTAGACACCCCCCACCCCCGCAAACCAATGTGTACACGGGACTTCGTTTTTTTGTCCCATCCGAACGACTTTACGTTGACCCTTGCCGGGCCCTCTGTCCTACACCACTGACAAGGGGAAACAATGCATAAAAAATTCCAATGAACGTTGATGAAGTTAGAGAGCAAAGAAAGATTTGACTGAAGACTTAAAATGAAGTACAGAGTAAAATATTATCTGTGCAAGAACAGATTAAAATTGGTTAGGAATATTACACTATCTAGAACCCCAAATATGGCCATCTATTTGAATCCATGTCCAAATATAAATGGACATGTGCATACATTGCACTTCCGAGGTGAGAACACGAGAAGACCAGAAGTCGAGATTGTGACAAAGCGGGAACATGAGAAGGCAAGAGATACTCAAACGCGAGGGAGCGAGAATGCGGGGATCTGCAAAGGCGAGAACGTGAGGAATCAAGAAGTCGAGGGCGAAAAGTCGAGACACGGGGGACCAAGAAGTCGAGGTAAAAATAATCTCATGTTCTCGGGGTGAGATCCTTGCATTCTCACCATGTTTCCTCGCGTTCTCGCACTTTCGCCTTCGACTTCTCGTTACCTCGCGTTCTCGCCCTCGATTTCTCGCAGTTGAGATTATGAAATGGCCGCAATAGGCTACCATACCTTATATAGGTCACTTCGCCCCACTGTATATTATAATACACTCTATCGGGAAAAGACGACTAGTGGTTTATATAGGTCACTTCTCTTTACTTTGTATAATACACTATATACATGTAATACATATACCCTGTATTCATATCTGGTATAGACGACTAGCAGGGTACAGACACTATATATTGATTTCTTCAAAGGTTGTTAGATAAGAACAGTCGTCATTACCAACGAGGACAGTTAGTATATTGAGGGGCTCTAGAGATTTCAACTTAGTGAACAAAACAGAATATTCGTAATATTGGACGATGAAAATAGTTAACTTTTGCTACATTTAAAACATGTACTGGTAACTTGTTATAATATTTAACATGGCTGAACAGGGAGTGTGTAGTATTTGCTTAAATGATTTTCACCAAGCGGTAATGCTCAACTGTGAACATTCGTTCTGTTTCATCTGTTTAGAAGATTATGTGAACAAAATCGCCACTAATGACCACTTCCCGTGCCCTTTGTGTCGTGCCGAATCTTCATTACCAGAGGGTGGAGTGAAGGAACTGAAACCGAAAGTAAATAATAACATTCCACAATGTGACGTTTGTATAAATAGTTTATCTAAATTTAGTTGTAAAGATTGTCAACAATATTTATGTGACTCTTGTAAAACGATGCATGGTAAATTAAAAGTCTGTAAAGATCATATTGTCGTTAGATACGAGGCATCAATGACTTCTAGAACAGAATCAGGGGCAAATAACTCTGTGACAGAAGACGTGACGACATCTGAATCCAGTCCACGTGATGTCTGTTCAAATCATCGACAATCGAGTGTAACATTTTACTGTAAAGATTGTTCGATGGCCATTTGTTGCTATTGCTATGTCATTTATCATAATGGACACCAATTCTTAAATTTACATGATGACAGAGTAAGAGAAGAAATTAAAGGAGAATTAAAAACATTAAATGAAGAAATAAAAACCCACATCGATCAACTTGAAAACTTCAGTGAACGTTTAAACCTGAAGTACAGTGAAGTGAATGATTCGGTGAAGACGGAATGTGACAAGATTGATGAACAGGTCGCTAAAATTTGTAGAGAAGTGAGAGAACTTGGGGAGCGTATGAAAAAACAAATGAAAACATCCTGTGGCGAAGATATATGTGATACTGTTGATGGAAAACTCAGAAAATTGATGGAGGATATTAAAAGACAAACTGAAGATTTAAAAGCTAGTGTTAAATATTCAGTGAATGTTTTAGAAGATTCGTCCATTGTTCAAGTTTTACAAAGATTCCCTAAAGTTAGACAGGAGAAAGATGAAAATTGTTGTAGAAAATTGGATATACCTGATGTACGATGTTCAACATTTCAAGTAGCAGAGATAGATAAAACTTTGTTAACTAATCAACTTGGCAAAATTGTAAGCTGTCAACCGAATATGATTGAAGATATTTTTAATGTGGATACTATGAGGAATAATGGTGTGTGTGATGGTAAACAACATGTAGTTTCAGGTTTTACATGGTTGACACGTGTGTATAAAACATTATCATCATTAGGTCGATTTAAATTAATCCTGGATGACGTAGAAGATAAAAGTATTACGTCATGTAAAGTTGACATCACATATAAAGTTATAAATAAAACAGATGATAGACAATCTGTAGTTAAACAATGTAATGGGACTGTTGGACCTGGTTGGTCACTCTGTTATACTGATATTATTGACTTGAAGAGACTCAGTGATCCTGTCAGTGGATTTATTGATGACCATAGAAACTTTACAGTTGAAGTAACATATAATATAATAACTGATATTACAAGACGTGAATAATTAGACTACTGTTATTCTGATTAAAACTAATAATTGAACTTATGTCTGAATTATCTTTAAATAATCTGATTATTATGATGTAACGTCCACTTCGGTGGAAGCGGAAGTTAAATAAAGCTATTTCACACAAATATGATGTAAGGGAGATAACCTATTTTCTTCCGAACTTAACATTTTCAAACGTTACTTAATGACCTATGATATGAATGTTTTCAATTTTTATTGCACATTATAACGAATGTTGAACCTGGTTGTTGATGAATGTGTTTTATTGATCGTATTGACTGATCATATTTCAATAATAATAATAACTGTCCGTCATTCCTTGTGGATATGACAGAACGATTTCTGATATGACCCTTAATCATGTGGCTCATTGTGTATGTTGACGAATATGTTGAGGCACTTTTACAGACAGAGAGGGAGAGGGTTAACGTCAACTCAACACAAACTAAGTCATTTAGCGACTAACATATAGTGACCTCTTTTCAATAATTCACTTGCGTGTAGTGGTCTTTAGCAATTTGAGGAAACAGGAGGATCCACAAGGTTTGACAGGGTAACATCTTCCAATCACCTGTGATATTAATGGACTAATGATAATACAGTCAGTATAACCACAGGGACCATACCAACTCATTCTAATGATTTCCAGGTAACATAATAAAAACAATTTTAATCAATAAACTAGTATGACCATATTTGTAGGTATTTTAATGTCTTGTCACATACCAATAAGTAAAGGGATAGAAAGACAATTTTCTGGATATTTCTGACTGGTAGAAAAAATGTCATTGGAATTGATATTTCAACCAATCATGTACAATCATGTAGTGTATCTAACAGATAGGGAAGCTGGAGTTTGACTTATTGAATGCTTGACGAGGTGTCCTGTACATGTCAGGCCTAATGTCAAAACGATTGTGAATGATATTGATTTATATCTCAGTTATACAGTATATTTTCAAATGGTAAAGGGTCGGGGGGATGGTCGTGCACTTCAGATCATAAGGTCTTTCCCCCTGCACTTACTATTGAGACAAGTGATTTCGATCCCAAGCTTGTAGGGAAACCTGCCGAACCTTGTGTTTTTTCTCTGGGTCTTCTAGTTTCTGCCTACTGTTAAAAACCCTTACACGTAAACAGATTAATGAAATAAAAATGTACTGTAAATGTCAGTCCCGAAATGACCTGACTTGTGTAGAGTGGTCGTAAACCCCATTTCTTTAGCTCTCTAATACTAAGTGCAGGAGAACCGAGCCACAGAAACCAATAAAGACAAACCTGTGGACACAACACATGGATATAATACTAAGTACAGGAGAACGCACCACAAACAAACAGAAACCAATAAAGACAAACCTGGGGACACAAGACACAGACATAATAGTAGGTGCAGGAGAACACACCACAAACAGAAACCAATAAAGACAAACCCGTGGACACAACACACAGACATAATAGTAGGTGCAGGAGAACGCATCACAAACAAACAAACTGAAACCAATAAAGACAAACCTGTGGACACAAAACACAGACATAATAGTAGGTGCAGGAGAACGCATCACAAACAAACAAACTGAAACCAATAAAGACAAACCTGGGGACACAACACACAGACATAATAGTAGGTGCAGGAGAACGCATCACAAACAAACAAACTGAAACCAATAAAGACAAACCTGGGGACACAACACACAGACATAATAGTAGGTGCAGGAGAACGCATCACAAACAAACAAACTGAAACCAATAAAGACAAACCTGTGGACACAAAACACGGACATAATAGTAGGTGCAGGAGAACGCACCACACACAAACAGAAACCAGACAATCCCATGGACACAAGACACAGACACAGACATAATAGTAAGTGCAGGATAACGCCATTACACATAAACAAACAGAAACCAATAAAGACAAACCCGTGGACACAAGACACACAATACACGGACATAATAGTAAGTGCAGAAGAACGCCATTACACACAAAGAAAATGAAAAGATGTCAATATCTTTTAATTTTGATATGTATATTTCAGTTGAAGATCATCATCCATTTCTTGCAACTATTACTCCTGTCTGTTCATATTAAAATACAATGGCCGACTAAAGTTATGTGGTTTGTTAGTATGCTTGGTTTCGGAAGTTTTACTGCCAGTACAGTTAAATTAAGTAAGTTTAATTTTTTGGGGAGGTTTTAGGAGAACATTGGGTGTCTTTTTGTATTGCCACCTGCAATATTTTTATCCAGTATAAGAGAAAAAATAATAAACTATAACACAGACTTATGGAAAACATTTACTAATATTTTTAGGCTACGTTTTGAAGAGTATTCTCATGACATTATGAAGCTAACATTATGAAGTCAAGTGGCATTATTTCGATCATGCACTTCTATGTGACAAGAAGTGGGGTCGCCTGTCCAACTTCGTGGGTTTTCTCTGGGTCCTCTCCTTTCCTCCCACTACTAAAGATCCCTACGAACAAGCAAATCATTGAAATAACACTGTACCATGTTTTTATCCGGAAATGACCTAGTTGGTATTGAGTGGGCTAACCCCATCTCTCTCTCTCTTACTCTCTCTCTCTCTGTCTCTCTCTCTCTCTCTCTGTTAGGTTATCAAGAGTAATTGTGGTCTATGTATCTCGGTATATATCTAACAGAGAAGATGAATTGCTCATGATTTGATTTGATATGTTTTTTTAGGATGTCTGCTACCAAGAGGGATGTATGGATATTTTATAGAATGGGGTACAGCTAGTGGAATACCTGCCTTCATTATCATACCAGGTCTTATTATTAACCAAAGACGGGTAAAAACTATTTTATTCCGTAGCCTCAGTCATGATATGACTTGCACACATGACATTAATAAGTCTTTCACAGACATTGGCAGACACAAATTCAGGCTTTAACAGGCACAATTGATCTATGAATTGACGGGCCTTGATGTAATGATTTCATGCACAAATTTCAAAATATCAGGTACTAGTTCTGTTGTGACTGACATTTTGTTAAAGAACCCTTGACAGTTGGAATTTTAAAATAAAAGTAGACCATAGCACCACTGTCTGGGCAAAATTTCACTCATAGCACACTGTATGGCGTATGCCAGTTTCATTAGACCAGTCAGAGCAGAAAAGTAGGACATTCAACCCCATTTCATTTCATTTCATTTCCAAAATGTTTATGAATTTGATGTAGTTAATAACATAAAATAAAGCAAAACATTTATATGGTTTGATTGTATTTCATATAAATTTAAACCAGTTCAAAAATCTAAATTCTAAACTTGAACCTATTTGAACTGTTATTTTTGGTTTAGAACCTCACCTAATCTAAATGGTGAGTTTAAATATATGTTTTTGGTTATTTCCATCCTATTCTCATTAATTTTGTTGTTGTTATGTATAATATATTATATTTTTTGCATTATTTCAGCGAAAGACGTTTGTGAGTTTAGAAATAGCCAAGTTTGATGTAGATCAGACAGTAAAGGAAATCATAACATTACGAAGATTTTTATTCTTAATTGCCGTTATTTACTTCATGCCAATAACTTTAAGTGTCATTCATGCATTTTCCTGTTATTCTACATTTGGAGAGGTAATCACACTGACGGACTTAATACCAAAATTTAAAATCTCTTGACAATTGGAGTTGAAAGAGAGTAGTTGGAATCTCTGGTTATGAGGATAAATTCTCTGCTTGTGCATACCCGTAAACCATATATAAACATTAAAGCTAAACCCAGCCACTGTCTATGATGTCACCCATGGTAGAAGTGGACGTAAAACTCTAGGATCGAATGAACGAAACCCAGCCCATCCTATTCCAGTCCCTATCTGGAACCACGGTGGCTTAATGGGTAAGATGTTGACTCGCTAACCTGGAGGTCAAGTGTTCAATCCCTGTGTTGGCCGAGAAATTTCATCTAGATTTTCCGGCATGGCTTTACCTTGTTAGTGGCAAACAATGTTTAGTCGTTTTGATGGTACAAAAAACTGAGATCCAATGTACAAATTGGCATGCATGTAAAATGACCCTTGGCAATTAGAATTTGATATAAGAGTAGGCCATAGCGCCGCAGTCTGGGCAAAATTTCCCTCATAGCAGACTGTATGGCATATGTAGGACATTAAACCGCATTTCATTTCTAATCCTTTTCTAATAAAGGGAAACAGATTTTATTACTTTTTGTGAAATTTCGACAGTTGAAATTGAACGAACAATAGGTTTAATCACGGTTGTTGAGGATAAATTCTCTGTACATACATTGCACAAATCACCATGAAAATGACCGGAGTAAATTGTTAAGACTACATTAATAAAGCACAACCCATTCCATTTCTTTTCAAATTAAACATGCATTATGCAAGGACTAAATCTGCCTATTGCTGGTCTTTCTTCGGGCCTGAAATGTTATCTAAATTATTAATTGGGCATTAATTGACTTATCCAGACCATAATCAACCCTCCATGCCGTCGTTAGCCTGCGATATTTAATGGATACATTTTATGATGTATAATTTAATGTAAATATGTTATCATGCCAACGTCAGTAATGACAACTGAGACTAGCTAATATCTTGGGTCAGAGTGAAGCAATTTGACTGAAATTTTCAGCATATTTTGTTTTCATTATCTATTTTTTAACTGTTATAGCGATAACTGTCAGCTTTTTATGTAATCTTAATTTATCAATATTGATTAGTTCTGTTTTCCAGTTATTCTATAAATTATAATTATCTTTATAAGTAATACTGAGTTGATAAATAGATGATGTTTAAATGCTGTTTAATATTAATTTTTAATTCCAATAGTATAAATAGTTGTAGTGTGGTTGTTAAATTATCTCCCCTTAGTGTGTCAAGGGAGATAATAATTGAACATTGGCTATTCTATTGTAGTAGGACAGGGTTCGGATACTGGATGCAGCGGCAGCTAATGTCATGAAACAAACAATAAACAAGATATAATTTGATACTTTTTATTATGAATTAAACAACAATGGATTATGGAAATGTGACGTGTGCCTTTAATTTCTAAATGATTGATTTGCCCGAAATGCTAAACAGAAATCATGAAATCTATACGCCAAAGTCTATTTCTCAAACTACGGAATGAATTAACTCACTGTGGTGAATCGATTCATCGATCCTGTACAGCCCGTTAACCCACTATTAAAAACGAAATCACCGAATTCTTCCACACGAATCAAGTGAAAAGGCCGCAATGCCTATACCTCCAGTGTCTGGCAGTAGAACGCAATGTCTAAACTACTAGAACACCATTAAAAACGAAATCACCGAATTCTTCCTCACGAATCAAGTGAAAAGGCCGCAATGCCTATATCTCCAGTGTCTGGCAGTAGAACGCAATGTCTAAACTACTAGAACACCATTAAAAACGAAATCACCGAATTCTTCACGAATCAAGTGACCAAATTCCAATATGGTTTAGTACGTGGATCGATTCAGCGGTCCCCACAGCAAAGCGCGCAGTAGATACAAATTTACTATTTTTCCCCAAATATGAAAGAAATGAAAATCAACACAATCTGGTTGATATGAGGCAATTATCGACTCTGACAACCAGCCTGTGTCTTACTCATGATAAGGTTACCTTACCTCGGGAGTTACTAACTGAAACTCCCCCGATGAATGATATGCGCCCAGTTTTATAGTCGAAGCATGCACGTACATGATAGTTGATTGGCTCGCATACGACAAGCAAGAAGACAAATGAATGAGTTTGGGCGACTGGTTTGAAAATCTTTATGCACTTCGGGCGACACTACCACACTATTTTAGATGTTCTGTACATTTGAATGTAATGGTGTTCTTTCTCTGTTGATATTTTCAGGGAATGATATTTAGATTAAGTAGGAGAGATGTATTTCTGTATGATAATAATCAGGCTTGTGATGAAATCGTATTTCAGGTAAAAATAAATATACTAAAAGAATTTATTGATATGAAATGCTTCTTGTTAAAATGTGTGTGGACGTGTGAAACATTATGACTCTCAAATGGGATCCAGTATCACAATATTTTAACATCTTATAAAAGATAAGATTCTTCCAATAAACTGTGCATATCATGTCATATACTAATATGTCAGCGTAATAGGGCACTGACCTCTCCTGGGTTTAAATAGTCTTCAGGATTTTTCAAGCTCATAGTTCTAAGTTGGCTGGAGGGCAGACAAGTAGAGTTTGCTTAATCATTCATATGTGCACTCGTGTACATCTTGACATGCAGATAAGGAACACTTGGCAGTTGGAATTTAAAGAAGAGTAGGCAGAAACCCTGCTGTCCAGGCTGAATTCTCCTCCTGGCTCTGCACACTTTACCACAACCTCAAAATGACTGAAATATTGTTGACAAAACATTAAACCCCATTTTATTCATTTCATTTCCCTTTCCATTCCATTCTCTCTTTAATTTTAAAGCGATTATCCTTTTTAGAATACCTGGTATCGCTTCTCTTCTGATGAGTTCACAAACTTTTGTTGTACTTTCGCATTTATGAGTTGTAATTTATCTGTTGATAATCCTCCCTATGAATATGAAGTGATCTAATCTTCCCTTTGATAATATATATAAATATAATTATTATTCGTCTCCATGATGATATATATAATTATTATTCATCCCCATGATGATATATATCATTAGTCCCTATGATGATATATATAATTATAATTCGTCCCCTATGATGATATATATTTATAATTATAATTCGTCCCCTATGATGATATATATTTATAATTATAATTCATCCCTTATGATGATATGTATATAATTGTAATTCATCCCCTTGCAGATATATATATAATTATAATTCATCCCCTTGAGGATATATATAATTATAATTCATCCCCTTGAGGATATATATAATTATAATTCATCCCCTATGATGATATATATTTATAATTATAATTCATCCCTTATGATGATATGTATATAATTGTAATTCATCCCCTTGCAGATATATATATAATTATAATTCGTCCCATTGAGGATATCTATAAATATAATTCGTCCCCATGAGTATATATATAATTATAATTTGTCCCCTTGAGGATATATATAATTATAAACCCCCCCCCCCCCCCCCCCATGATGATATATATATAATTATAATTCGTCCCCTTGATGATATATATAATTGTGATTTAATTGTATATATCCATATGATGAAATATATAATTATAATTTGTCCCCATGATGATATATACAATTGTAATTGGTCCCCATGATGATATATATAATTATAATTCGTCCCCATTATGATATATATAGTTGTATATATAATTCGTCCCCATGATGATATATATAATTATAATTCCTCCCCTATGATGATATATATATAATTATAATTCATCCCATTGATGATATATATAATTATAATCCCCCCCCCCTCCCTGATGATATATATAATTGTAATTTGTCCCTATGATGATATATATATATATATGATTATAATTTGTTCCCTTGATGATATAATTGTAATTAGTCCCCATAATGATATATATAATTGTAATTTATTTAAGGTGATTCATCTGTTGTTAATCTTTCCTATGATGATATATGTAGTTGTCCTACCATTATTCCTAATACTGTTTACACTCAGACAGAGAAAATGGGATTTACTCGACAGAAAAGAAAGTTTCTATGGGTAAGATGTGGGCTTATAGCATGACTGTTACTTCTTTAGGAGAAGCCACGATGGCTCAGTGAGTAAGATGTTGGCTCGCTAACCTGGAGGTCCTGTATTCGATCCATGCGTTGGCCGAAAAAATTCATCTGACATGGTTCCTCCTTGTCAGTGGTGCTGGATGGAGGGTCTGGCCAAGGGACAGCATATAGTCATTCGGATGGGACAAAAAACTGTGGTACCTTTTACACGTTGCATGCACGTAAAAGATCCCTTGGAAGTTGTAATTTGCTATAAGAGTAGGACGTAGAGCCGCTGACTGGGCAAAATTTCCCTCATAGTACACTGTATGGTATATGCTCATCTTCAGTAGCCCAGTCGGAGCAGAACAGTAGGACGTTAAACTCCATTTCATTTTATTTCAAATCTTTAGCATTAGTACTTTGGGAGGCTGAGGTCTCAAGTATCCCGGTGTTGATTGAGAAAATTTTTCAAGATTTTCCATCCTGGTTTTCACTTGTCAGTGGTTTAGGACAGAGGCCTGTCAGATAGGATAAAATACCATGGTCCTTTCACTGCACTTACACTGATCCCCTAGTAGTTGGTAATCGAGATAAGAGTAGACCACTGCACCACTTTTTCAAAATTTCATTTTACTTGTCTTTACTTCACTAGGATCTGGAAGAGTTGTTATATAACCCGTGTTCCACTACAACTGGTCAGATCTTCATGTAGTAGAGGCCATTGACAGTATAAAATAACAAAACAAAATATAGATCTGTATTTTAATCAGATTGCTGTCTGGTATAATAAGTACAAGTTTAGATATATGTTGTTGTTTTTTTTTCAAATAAATGTAACATAAAAGTATTTGTTTTTTTGAATTCTAGGTTTGTGTATGAATCTTACACTAGAAGATTGTGTTTTTGGGAAGCCATACCGATGTTGAGAAAACTATTGGGAATATTGTTAACAGATACTGTCCTTACACAGTAAGTTATTTGCCATACTATAGTGATGGGTATCATGCACAAGGCTTGGTATTCATACACTTTCCATGAGTAAAACGCTGACTTGCTTACCAGGAGGTCTTGGGTTCACTGCTGGCGCTGGCATAGAAAGTTGCTCAGGCTTTTCCAGTGTGGTTTCCCCTTGTCAGTGGTGTAGGATAGAGGGCCTGACAAGACAGTGTCTAGTTTTTCAGATGGGACAAAAAACGAGGTCCATAGTACATATTGGTGCGCACATAAAAAGGACCCTAGACAGTTGGAATTTGAAATAAGGGTAGGTTGTAGCTCAGCTGTCCGGGACAAATTTCCCTCGTATGGCATATGTTTGTCTTCATTAGCCCAATAAACCTGATATCACCTGATACCCATGGACTGATTTAGTTTCATTCTTATTTTATTTCTTTTATTGCAGTCCATTTTATCAGATTTTTGGACATCTATGCTTAACTGGTTTCTATCTGTTATTAGTGATATTATTTAGACCCTATAGGTAGGTATTTAGACTATATACTGTATGTTTAACTGGTTTCTATCTGTTATTAGTGATATTATTTAGACCCTATAGGTAGGTATTTAGACTATATACTGTATGTTTAACTAGTTTCTATCTGTTATTAGTGATATTATTTAGACCCTATAGGTGGGTATTTAGACTATATACTGTATGTTTAACTGGTTTCTATCTGTTATTAGTGATATTATTTAGACCCTATAGCGGTAGGTATTTATACTATATACTGTATGTTTAACTAGTTTCTATCTGTTATTAGTGATATTATTTAGACCCTATAGGTAGCTATTTAGACTATATATTGTATGTTTAACTGGTTTCTATCTGTTATTAGTGATATTATTTAGACCCTATAGGTGGGTATTTAGACTATATACTGTATGTTTAACTAGTTTCTATCTGTTATTAGTGATATTATTTAGACCCTATAGGTGGGTATTTAGACTATATACTGTATGTTTAACTAGTTTCTATCTGTTATTAGTGATATTATTTAGACCCTATAGGTGGGTATTTAGACTATATACTGTATGTTTAACTGGTTTCTATCTGTTATTAGTGATATTATTTAGACCCTATAGCGGTAGGTATTTATACTATATACTGTATGTTTAACTAGTTTCTATCTGTTATTAGTGATATTATTTAGACCCTATAGCGGTAGGTATTTATACTATATACTGTATGTTTAACTGGTTTCTATCTGTTATTAGTGATATTATTTAGACCCTATAGGTAGGTATTTAGACTATATGACCATATACAATATATTATTCTCTGGGGGCTATGAGTACCACTGCTCATTGTGTAAGGCGCTGGCTGGGGTTTGATCCCAGTGTTAGCCGAGAAAGTTCCCAGACCAGTGTCTGCACGTAAAAGAACCATTGACAGTTCCTCATAGCACACTGCATGGTGTAGCGTAGGATATTAAACCTCATTTCATTTCATATTATGCAGTGTTCAATTTCAAACCCATTGAATAAGAAAATAGCTGAATCACCTTTAAAAAGGTTAAGAAACTCAGAAAAATACTATTTTAGATTATTATATACATCCGTGTTTTAGTTTCATAATTCAATTCGGTTTAGAAATAGTTCTTATTAGATTACATGTATTTATATTATCAGGAATTTTTATTGGAAAAACAGATTTATGAACAACCATGTTATTTTAGATGTAAGTTATTTATTTTGATCCTTTTTTATTTTTTTTACAAAGTCTTAAATTATTTAAGCAATATAAATATGGGTGAATGAATTTTATTTTTGTTTACAGAGTAAAAAAAAAATTAAGAATTATAAATGAATTTTTATTATCATACTTTCATTTGAAATGAACAATAATTGATATTGTTTTGGATTAACCAGCTTTATTTGACCTCACGCCATTTGTTGCCTTGCTATATTTGCAGTTTGTTTAATCAAATGGGGAGATTCAGTTTCAAGTCCATGTATTGAAGGTGGTATTATCTCCCCTTAGTGTGTCAAGGGAGATAATTGTTGAATAGAGATATATAATCCTTAAGTGTTATTTAGCAATTGAGCATATAAATGAAAACACAAAAAACATTTATCTCTGCTATGTAACAATGTCCCAGTGATGGTATTTCATATTAAACATACATTATGCAAGAACTAAATTTGCCTATTGCAGTTCTTTCTTTAGACCCTAATTGTTATCTAAATTGTTAATTAAACATTTATTAACTTACCAAGACCATAATCAACTCTTGATGCCATCGGATGCTCGAGATATTAACTAGATTAGAACGGACCCGAAGAAAATCCACAAGGTTGGACAGGTGACCCTACTCCTTGTCACGTACAACTGGGGAATCGAAACCACGCCAGTTGACTCAATGACAGACCTAATGATTTAACGCACACATGCACACCCAATCCCCCATTATTATTCTAACTATATGTATTGTTAATTATAGGTTGTATGTAATGTTGGTATAGCAGTATTACAAGGTGGTAGTTTATTACTTGTATTTGATGTATATGAGGGATTTATAGACTATTTAATTATTCTAACTATATGTATTGTTATTGTCTATTGGATCATCTGTATATTCACCAGTCAGTTTGAAAAACAGAGACATGTCGTAGTAAGTATAATAATACTCCATAAAATACACATGTGACGTCATCCTTTGATGTTGGCGTACCATTATTTGAAATAATTATACGGATGTATACTAGATGAAATATTGGACCTACATGATGTATTTCATTAAAATGCACGTGCTCTCGTGCAAGACATTGCTTAATATATAGATATAGCACTCGTGCTATCGTACTCGTGCAATATCAATATATTACTTAATGTCTCGCACTCGACCATTAAACTACACATAAATCACTACTTATTTCCAAACTCCGAATGGGATTTAACATCCACTCAACACAAACTAGGTCATTTCGCGACCGACATATCAGATATAGTTCCATTTTATTTCAATAATTTACTTGTGTGTAAGTAAAGGTCTTCAGCTATGTGGTAAAATCGAAGAAATCAACGAGATTGGACAGGCGACCCTACTCCTTGTCAAAACAAAACCACTCCACTTGACTCAAAACCTTAAAATCTAAAGCACACACTCTTCTTCCATTTGCAACATTTAATTGTGGACACACTGGAGGTCTTAATTTTTTATTGGAAATGAAATGAAATGGGGTTTAAAGTCCTACTGTTCTGGTCCGACTGAGCTAATGAACACAGGCATACGCCATACAGTGTGATATGAGGGAAATTTGGCCCAGACAGCGGTGCTATGTCCTACACTTATATAGAATTCCAACTGCCAAGGAATCTTTTACGTGCACACCAATATGTACACGGGACTTCGGTTTTGGCTATGTTTTTAGTGTTGACAATATTCTATTGGTCATGTTTTTAGTGTTGACAATATTCTATTGGTCATGTTTTTGTAGTGCTGACAACATTCTATTGGTCATGTTTTTACAGGTAGAGATAACAAGAAGTGATGCCAGTATGAGTCAAGATACAACTGAAGGTGACAGTGTGGAGAATATTCAGTTACATCAGGTGGCTTCCAAAAAGAGTGTCAGTTTTACTGGAAAGAATAATAAAGTAGCCAACGGACCAGATACTTTAGAGATAACAAGAAGTGATGCCAGTATGAGTCAAGATACAACTGAAGGTGACAGTGTGGAGAATATTCAGTTACATCAGGTGGCTTCCAAGACGAGTGTCAGTTTTACTGGAAAGAATAATAAAGTAGCTAACGGACCAGATACTTTAGAGATAACAAGAAGTGATGCCAGTATGAGTCAAGATACAGAGAATGATATGTCTGAAGGTGACAGCGTGGAGAATATTCAGTTACATCAGGTCGCTTCCAAGAAGAGTGTCAGTTTTATTGGAAAGAATAATAAAGTAGCTAACGGACCAGATACTTTTGATTTCTAACTTGATCTAATGAAACATGAAATTGCTGAAAATGATGCAAATAATTTAAGAAGAATAATTGTCATGTATATCAGTTATATCATCAGAGATAAAACCCTTGGAAGTCGCTCTTTTTAATCCGACTGGGAGATTATCTACTGTTAATATTTTGAACTTGGTTTTCGCAATAAAATTAAAGATACATTGTGGAAGATTAGATAATAGTAAAAAATATAGATATATATTTCACTTTGGACCGAGAAAACCTCATTTTAAAAACACTGTAGCCTTGATTGTCATTGTTACCGCTAATACGATAATGAATAAAGTCACGATTATCCATTTTTGCGGTTAATCATCAATGGGCATTAACAGCAGATCGGATTCAAATCCAATGAAAATCGAACCGATAAATGTATAATTAATAGTTTATATAACATTAAAGGCCTAAAGAAATACTTGCAATAGGCAGATTTAGCTCTTACATATGTTTAATAAAGAGTATATTTTAGCTTTAATGATGCCATGAACAAGCCTGTAAAGGCTAAGGCACCTGTGACAGACAATGTCAGGCACAGATTCAGGCTTTGTCAGACACAAAACCTCTGGTGCCTGTCATTTTGTCCGGCACTGATTTGTCTTTTTTATTGATATTATTAATACATGTCCGGCACTAAGTTGAAAATATCGGGTACTATTACATTAGTGCCCGATATTTTGTCAGGTACATCTAGAACCGTTATTTCCAGGCCTGGTCATCAACAATTAAGTTTAATCAATATTTTATTCATTTGGAAAGAATGTAACAACAGGCAAGTCCTATATATGTTCTTTCCTATATTAAGATTAATAGTTTTTAAGCATTTGTTTTATTTGTTACCTTTAACTTTTATTCATGTATGTATATTATATAATGTTAACTGTTGAGAATTGTTGTATTTTAATGTTTTAGTTTTATAATAAATTGTTTTGTCATAGTTGTTGATTTGTATTACAGTAATCAAACTGCACAACATGATAACCTATTCTGTTTAGTAAAAGAGAAACTAGATCATTTTGGGACTAACATATGGTTCAATTTTATTTCAGTAATTTGTTTGAGTGTAGGGGTCTTTAGCAGTCGGAGAAAACCCACAAGGTCAGACACCTTATGATACAACGCGCATGCGCTAACCATTCGGCCATCCAACCCCAATTCGGTTTTGTCCATTGTATACCACGAGACTGATGGTTGCTTAATAATTTAATTAATTATGATAAACAAGATTTTGACTACCCACAGCAGATATAAAGCATATCTTTAAATTATGTAGCATGTTTAATAAAATTACTGTGTGTCACCGTTATAATATTTAAGCAAGTAGACTTGGAGCCTTTTTCCCCCAAAATATTTGAAGAATGCTACCTTTTTATTGGCTAAGAGCTCAAAAGTTTCAACCAATGAGAACGCAGCATCCTTACAATTTTTTAAATCATATGAATTGCGATTTATCCCTCCCAACTATACTTGTAACTAGACACTCGGACTGCACTCTAGTCTACTCAAACACAATTATTTACTGCTACAACAATCTATTCAATAGATTTGTTTTTGTCTTCCTCACTGGGTCATGTCTGACAGAGAGGTAGAAATGAGGTTTAGGTCCACTCAATACAAACTAGATGATTTCGGGACTAACATATGGTTCAATTTTATTTCAATAATTCGCTTGCACGTAGGGGTCTTTAGCAGTGGGAGAAAACCGGAGGCCCCAGAGAAAACCCACAAGGTTGGACAAGCGATCCTACTCCTTGTCACATACAACCAGGGAATCGAAACCACACCAGTGAACTTCAATGACACACCTTATGATACAACGTCCACACACTAACCATTCGACCCCCCCCCCCGGTTATGTTTGATAAACCAGATCTTAAATTTTGAATCAATGATGACAATAACTAACTTCTGGTACACCAGGATGAGTTTCTCTTCAAATAAATAAAAACAAATAAATTTTAAATTGTCCTAGACTTTATTTTGTCTTCTGGAATGAATCAAAGATTCAAAAAATATAATTTATAGCAGAGATTAATTATCTCTTCATTGTTGTGAAGATAAATGGTGTTATAATTTCAACAAGTGAATTGGATGAGCTTCTCAACATTATAAACAGAACAGATATTTTATAATTAAAGACAGAGATCATCAATCAGATTAAAATACAGATCTATACTTCGTTTCGTTTCTTTAATACTTTTGATCGCCTTTACTACATAAAGATCTGACCAGTTGTAGTGGGAGGTCGTGTCAGGGGTCATACGAGCTGTTTTTGCCTTATGACGTCAGACATTTGATTAACTAATCAGCGTTGATGTTTCTAGTAGGATACCCACAGTTCCGTGCATCGCATGCCAAGAACTTGCTGCAATAGACTTCTTCACTGGCTAATCCCTCACATCAACCAGAATGCAGCTTATATAACTTTCAAATCCTAGTGTAGTAAAGACAATTAAAATGGAATTTTGGACTATGAAAAACGAAACGAAATAGGATCTGTGTTTTAATCAGATTGAAAGATTATGAAATACATAGGTCACAATTCTATGGAATGCAATTAGTGCTTATAAGTGAGTAACACTTCCACTAGGCTTTTATTGTCTTTATAAAGCCTAGTGGAAAAGTTGCCCAGTTATAAGCAATAACTGTATTGTATAGCACTGTGACCTGTTTTCCTGTTCAATTACTAAATGCCATTAATATCTTTAGTATTGCTTTGAAGAATTATACAGAGAGGTCTTTGCTAATCGGATTTAATTAACAGAACTTTATTTATAAAAGCTTTCTATTTCTAGTACAGAAAAGCAAAGAAAAATAATTTGTTATTTAAAAGTAGGATAAAAGAAAAAATGCAAAAGATAAACACATGAAAATGATTTAAAATAAGTCAATTTACAATACATTGTTTGTGAAGAATTTAATAAGCGACCAACTAAACTTTATACAGCCGTAAACCTAAAAAATTTGACATTCAATTCCTAAACAAATTCAGTGTAATAGTATCTAATTCTATAAAAGAAATGTACTCACAAAATGTTTTAATGAAAAAAAAAAGAAAAAACAAAAAAGAAGATATTTTATTGGTTTTTAAAATTTATAGTGATTCGAAGCAATTTAGAATTTGATTTTTTTTATTTTCAACGCTTTTCAAAATTTATAGTATTTCAGAATAATTATGAAATTTTAAATTAATTGATGTATGTTTTTGTTTTTTTTCGATGTGTATGTAAAGAAGAGAGTAATAATAGCAATACAAGACGAGATAATCCATATATTATCACGACTTATTAAAATACAATATATATATATATATACGTCTATCTGAAAGACATTATGGTATTAACAATATTTACATAGGGGATATCCACCCATATGGAATTCTATATTTACTGTATCTTAAATTAAATGAAAATATCTACAACAGAATCAGAAATATTTTTTCTTTCTGTTTGATTCTGTCCAGCGAATTTGGTTACAGAGATAGGATGTACTTAATTTTTTCCTACAAAGACACATTACCTTGCCAACAAAATTTAAAAAACAATTGCAAAGCTACTATTCCCTTACTTCCGTAACTACCTTTACCATTCTCAATTCAATAGATTTAAAATTAATTTTTTTTCTTCCCACATAACTGTTTAAAAAACCCATACTTTAACTTTAAGGCTATGTATAATACTGTAATACACAAGCTGTCTTTACATTGAATTAATGCTTTTATTAGAATTAATGCTCTACTATGCCTGACAAAATATTTAAGTCTATAGTTTCTTAATTCCATTTAACAGAGTTTATCTCCGACATATTTTGATACTGATGAACTATAGTCAAGATCGTGGAATAAATCTCTCGATGAATTATCTACCTTCTAATCTGTAAAAAAATTTATCTTACGGATTATATCCTAACAAATAATATTAATTTGACCAGAAAATATTAAATTTAAAGATAAAACTAAACAAATTAAAGTAGCCTTCGCTAAGAACCATTGACAGCACAACCAATTAATTTCGACCAATAAATGATACTTTTAACTTAACAATAAGAAATATATGTACAAAAGAACAAGAGAAATTTAAAAGATAAAACTGAAAAGAAAGCTGAAAAAGAATTTGAATTTAAAGGTATAGGAGATAGAAAAAAGAAGTAAAAGATATTGATAATATCAGAATAGAAGATAAAGAATTAAGGTGAATAAGAAACATGTACAATATACAAAATAATAAAAAAAGAATTAAAATTGAGACAAAAAAAAGAAGATATTTCAATGATGTAAATTCTTTAATTGAATGAAGATTTTTTTATTGTAAGAATTATCTTTTGTAATAAATTAAAGCCAATTATGATATGTTAGAATGAAATAACCACAAATATTTGCCAATACTACAACTTTTATAGATACATGAAAAGGCTTCTATTGTACCTATTAATTCACCAAGTTACCTTTGTTCACTAATAGGTGCCTAGTAATTCACTAAGTTACTGCTGTTCATTAGAAGGTGCCTTAGTAATTCAAGTGCCTAGTAATTCACCAAGTTGCTTTTGTTCACTATTAGGTGACTAGTGATTCACAAATTTGCCTTTGTTCACTACTAGGTGTCTAGTAATTCACAAAGTTACTTTGGTCACCGTTAGATGCCTTAGTAATTCACAAATTTACTTTTGTTCACTATTACTATCAAGTGCCTAGTAATTCATAAAGTTGCTTTTGTTCACTATTAGGTGACTCGTGATTCACAAATTTGCCTTTGTTCACTATTAGGTGTCTAGTAATTCACAAATTTGCCTTTGTTCACTATTAGGTGCCTAGTAATTCGCAAAGTTGCTTTTGTTCACTATTAGGTGCCTACTAATTCACAAAATACATCTCTTGATGTGTTTGATAATATTCTGGCCATGGTGAGTTTTATTTTGATATTATAAATCCTATTGTATTAACTAGTAACTAATAAGTATTCAAAATATTGGCAATCATACTTTTACTATTGATATTATAATAATATATATATATGTATATATAACCTACCTACCTTACCTATGTAAGTAGGGCTATCAGGACAAAATGGCCGAACACCACATAACAAAAAACCCATGCTTTGACAAATTCGTTCAACTATTAGTACATATAATTAAATAAGCTACAAAATATCTTTGAGCTTAGTGAAAAATAATCCATGATTTCTAATTAAAAGTGGAAAATAATCTATGCTCAAAGGAGCATGGAAAATAATCCACGATTTCAAAGGAGCATGGAAAATAATCCATGATTTCTAAGTAAAAGTGAAAAATGATTCATGACATCCAAGTCAAAAGAGAAAATAATATTCGTTTTGTAAATGAAAATAGAAAAATAACCCATGATATCCAAGTGGAAAACGAAAACAATCTATGATCTCTTAAGTGGAAATATAATCCATGATTTCTAAGTAAAAATTGAAAATAATCCATGATTTCTAAGGAACATGGAAAATAATCCATGATTTCTAAGGTACATGGAAAATAATCCATGATTTCTAAGTAAAAATGGAAAATAATCCATGATTTCTAAAAAACATGGAAAATAATCTATGATTTCTAAGTAAAAGTGGAAAATAATCCATGATTTCAAAGTAACATGATCTATGATTTTTAATTAGAAAATGGAAAATAATCCATGATTTCTAAATGGAGAATGATCCATGATTACTAATGAAAATATTACGAAGTAAAATTCAAAATCAATTGAAAAATATACAACTGCACCATTGAAATTGAATTCTGATTGGTTTGATATAAATATAACAGAGCTATGTATACAGAAATTGTTCCAAGGCAGGATTGAATCAGGTAGTTACTGGAATCTATCATCCAGTTTGATTCTCTTGGAGTAAGAATCAGCATAATGCCCACCGAGGCCCTGCGAATGTTGTCCAATGTACGAACCTTCAGGACTTGGTTCAGGAGCTGGAAGTAACTGACTATATGAGCGTTTCTGGCCAACAGGAGTTTTCTGTAATACACACACACAAAGAAAGATAAATAGAATATATTATATACATTGTAGATTTTATAGTTTGAAGTAAATAAAATAAAACCAAGTATGAACAATCCAAACCATTAGACAAAATTCGAAGTCAAAAAAAACCGGTATCGGCAAAATAGTGTAATCAGCAAATGGACTGTGTACCGTGTACAAAATACATGACAAACAGTGGTAACAGGTTTCCGGAAGAGTAAGCTTACCCTGCCTGGCACCACACCCGCCATAGCTGCAAGATATTTAGCCAGATAAAAATGGGGGACGATTCGGTTGAAAGCACTTCATAAGTGCAATAAATGAATGAAATTGGGTTTAACATCCTACTTCTAGGCTATGAGGGAAATAGAGCTCCTGTCCCTTATGAATCCCTATGAAATTACTTAGTCAACACCGGGATCGAACCCTCATCCTCCAGCCTAGCAAGCAAGCGTCTTATTCACTTAGCCACAGTGACCCCCTCCCTCCAACTCCTATAAAATCAATAGTAATAAAATGCTATACTTACTAGAACATATGAAGATGGTGGTGGAGCAGGAGTGTAAGATGAACTGTTATCAAGATTAAAAGATTCATCTTTATAATTACTACCTTGATAACCGAATTTATAATTTGATGAGCTGTTTGTGGGATATTTTGATGGCTGCATTGAATTAAAATCATAGTCACTATTTGCTGTTCGTATATTATAAGACGAGTTGTCTTGATAGTTTAAAATATTTCTGTTGCCACTGTAGTTATTAATCTGAGCACCGGTATTATTGGTATTGTACACTGAGTTTGTTGGGAATAGGGAATTTGTATTTTTGTTATAGTCTGTATATGTTGTATAGTCAACTTGTTTGGCTGAATATGTTGTTCTTGGTGTTGTTAATAGTTCATTGGTATTGGTCTGATAGTTGGATGCACGAGGTGCGGACGGGGCTATGGCTGGATATTTTTGTTGCTGTAAGGTGTCGTTCTTCTGTAAGATAAGATTCATGATACAAAAATTAGTTCAAGAGGTTTTGATACTCTGACAAAACAGGTAACAATGGCAGAAAATTGGATTTTAACATCTTGCTATTTTTAAGCTAACATATGGCCAATCTTTTCTCGCTACTAGCGGTTGATGTGTCATAGCATGGGTATAGCCATGAACCAGAACTGGTATAACGTCGTAACCAGAAGTGGTAGTCCATCACCACCCAGCCTATATCTCTCCCTAGTCCAGGCTACCTCTATACACTAAATTTCAGTCTCAGGACAGCCCTAGTGTAGCCGGCAATCCTGAACAGACAAAAAGACAAACAAACGACAGTCACAAATATTAATGGATGACATGAGTTGAAGCTTGTGGAGACAGCTGTGTTCCAGGTTCTTTTTTAAAATACAAATGCTTAGCGACCTACTGTCATTTTCAATACACAAGGCAAGGTTGTCAAAGACGGCATGGAAAATTTCTGCAATGACTGGGCTAATGAAGACGGTGGAAAATATGCGATGTCCGTTATTGAATGCCGATATTGATAAAGAATACCTCATGTTTTCATGGACTGTGTTCTACAAAGATCAGTACTTCATGTTTAATAATTAGCTAGGTTTAACATTATTTCAAATCATGACAGAATTCAAGTAAATTTATGCACTGTATTTTTGAATAGAATGTAATTTTACAGATTTAGTTTCAAGGAATTTATGAATAACAGAATTATTTCTTACTTGATAAATATTTGAAACATTCTTTTGACTAGAAAAATTGGAATTCTGGAAGAAGAAAAAAAAAAAAGAAAAAAAAAATTAACTTTACAGATACTTAAAACTATTTGAGTAACATTTGAAGAAGAGTCAGTCATAAACATCCATACTAAACTTATGCTGTCGGTCTACAATTAGCTCTGCTTGAGAACACACTAAGCTAGTTGACCGACATTTTAAGTCCTAATTCGATGATTTTAGTCGAAAACACTAGGTGTATTTTGAGAATTTTGAGAAGTATATATTCTACTTTCATTTAAAAAAATTGAAAAGGTATATTTAGTCTTTTTGTGTATAACAGATGTGAAGCGGAGTAGGACCGCATTACAAATCTACTTTTATTTAATAAAATTGAAAAGGTATATTTAGTCTTTTTGTGTATAACAGATGTGAAGCGGAGTAGGACCGCATTACAAATCTACTTTCATTTAATAAAATTGAAAAGGTATATTTAGTCTTTTTGTGTATAACAGATGTGAAGCGGAGTAGGACCGCATTACAAATCTACTTTCATTTAATAAAATTGAAAAGGTATATTTAGTCTTTTTGTGTATAACAGATGTGAAGCGGAGTAGGACCGCATTACAAATCTACTTTCATTTAATAAAATTGAAAAGGTATATTTAGTCTTTTTGTGTATAACAGATGTGAAGCGGAGTAGGACCGCATTACAAATCAGTATACTAAGTGTTGGATATGGCTGCCATTAAGCGCAGAGATCTATACTCAAAGTAGAGTAGATAGTTGTCTGTGTGCAGAATGACAAACAGTGTCCTCGTATACCAAATACTATGCTAAATTTGTTTTCATGTAAACCCAAAGACTATTAAATCTGAAAACTTTCTAATATCAGCAACTACTATAAATGAAATTAAATGGGGTTTAACGTCCTACTGTTCTGCTCCGACTGGGCTTATGAAGAAGGGATCTTTTATGTGTACACCAATCTGTTCAGGGGATCTCGATTTTTGTCCCATCTAAACAACTAGACAGCTGTCCTTCAAGGGGAGACCACGCCAGAAAACCCTTGGTCGGAAAGACGGATGGAGCCCCTTTTCAATACCCACCCTTAACCTTTGTTTACCTTGGGATAATTTGAATCCCCATATTAAAGATGGGTTCCCAGAAAAGTATTTATCGGGTGGTTATTTCCAATAAAAGTATGGCAATTTTGGTATATATGGAAAGTAGAGATATCCAATCTTACTAGAAAAATACTGGATTCCACGAAAAACACTCATGGAGCGTATACAGGACAAAAATGCAAGGGTTCCCCTAATCAACAGCCCGACGATTAAGAATTTCTGCACGTGTGATGTCAAAGGTCACACGCGAACATTGACCGCTTGATGTACAAGTTGATTAACGCTTTGAAGAGTTAGACGTACAACACTTTCTGAGATAAAAATGACGGAAAAAGAATTTAATTAGGATTCGATAGTTGTAATAAATAGTAAGCGATTAAAGACAACATCGTCTTATGTATGCAATGAATTCTCCTCTGACATCCAAGACGTGACGTAAACATGACCTGGTTTGATCGAATTTTAATAGCAGGGCATTCCTTCCCAATTACAATGTTTGAGAAGGATTTGAAACATAATTATGACAAATTATTTAGTTTGAATATGTTTTTAGTCCATATATACCATTAAATCACCCAGTTTGTATGCGGAACCCATCTTTAAAAGAAATATCCCTGCAATAAATTCATTAAAATAATTGTAAAAACTTACATTAGTGTTTGTATTTAACATTGGATATTGGTTATAAATATCTTCTCTTCTATAATCTGTTCCTGACTGATACTATAATATACAAAGTTACTCTCTATTACACTATATCTATATTACACTATTGGGAGGGGTTGGATGGCCGAATGGTTAGCGTTGCATCATAAGGTCCGTCACTGAGTCAACTGGTTTCAATCCCCCGGTGGTACATGACAAGGAGTAGGGTCGCCTGTCCAACCTCGTGGGTTTTCTCCGGGTCCTCCAGTTTCCTCCCACTGCGCATTCAAATTATTGAAATAAAATTGAACCATATGTTAGTCCTGAAATGAACTGGTTTGTGTCTAGTGGACGTTAAACCCCATTTCTCTCTCCATTTTTGGGAGCCATGGTGGCTTAGTGAGTAAGATGTTGGCCTGCTAACTTTGAGGTCCTGTGTTTGGGTTCATCAGCAATTTCCAGCATGATTCCCTGTTGTCAGAGGTGCAGGACAGAGGGTCTGGCAAGGGACAAAGTATAGTCTTTAAGATAGGACAAAAAAATGAGGTCCCATGTGCACATTAGTTACTGTAAAAGAACCCTTGACTGTTGGAATTCAACATAAAAGTAGGCCGTATTGCCGCTGTCTGGGCAAAATTTTCCGTATAGCACACTGTAAGGTATTTGCCCGTCTTCATTATCTCAGTCGGAGCAGATAAGTAGGACCTTATACCCCATTTCATTTCATTTTTGGTGCAAATTCAACAGAATTGTCCTCATTTTCTGGCTAATTAAAACACACAGTAGCACAGACAATTAAAGACGTCAAAGAGAGTTACATAGCCGAAGGGGGAGACCAGATGTTACGGAAAGATTAATCATATCCTACCAAATATAATGTATTTTGACTTACTTTAGAAGGAATGTCTTGAAAAGGATCTTCACTAGTACTATCATTAGTGTTATCAGCCTGTTGATATAAATAATAATATTATATAGTTTATATATAAATTAACCATGTATTCAGTTACATCAACCTTCTAAAAGTTATAAATACAACATCCCCCCTTCATTGTGCAAGATTGGTAGAAAATCCAATTCAGAACAACCTTTAAAAAAAACACTTTTGCTGTTTTAATGTATCAAAATACATCCATTAAGAAATTATGTGCAAAGTTTTGTGTTTCTGGATCAAAGATATTTTTCATAAAAAGTGATTGAAAGTTTGGTAAATTCTTAACTTGAGTCTGAGAATGCTTTGTGAAACTGGGGCCTGCTGTAGTAATTATGTAAACTCATTTGATAGTGTGTCTTTTAAATTCATTTAACAGGTTTGTCTTATCGGTATGTAGTGCAGTTCGCCTGTACTTAATAATAGAATAATACATGTACTTACCCAATAACCAGAGTCATTATATTGACCATAATCTTGCCCTCCAGAGTAACTTCCCCTGTTACCATAGCTACTAGACTCACTAGCTCTGTTCAATGAAGGATAACCACTTCCCATTGACATTCCTTTACTAGCATTTAAATTCTGAACTTTCGGTAGATATGCAGGCGGCTCTCCTAACAAGGAAGTAGGGTTAGATTTCATGGCTGATAATTGTTGGAAGTTAGCCATTAATGGTTTAGGTCCGGCGTTTGATGTAAACTGTTTTTGGAGATTTCCTTGTATGTTTTGTAGAAACGAATTTCCGTTGGCGTTCGGTCCGCCTTTTCCTTGGTTATTATTTGATGGAGGAAACATGGGGGTAGGGAAGAGTCCGCTCTGTGGAGGAGGAATGTTTTTTGTCAGGATGCTTTCAGGTTTTTTCTTATTTTGAATATTGGACATGATTTGACCGAGGTTCATCAATAGATTAAGATTAAGATCTCGTGTATTTTGTAGTATTTGTGTAATATTCTGGTTTCCTTTAACTTGAGCTGTTAACGTCTGTATAACCAGATTAGCTTGAGATGTTAATGGATCACCTAATAAAGATGGCTTTACATCCTGGGGAAAAAAATTACATAATGTAAAAAAAAGAAATGAGAGAGAGAGAAATGTGGTTTAACGATTACTCGACACAAACCAGGTCATTTCGGTACTAACATATCGTTCAATTTCTTGATTTCAATGATTCACTTGCGATGAGGGATCTTCATCATTGGGAGGAAATCGGAAAACCCAGAGAAAACCTATGAGGTTGGACAGGCGACCCTACTCCTTGTCACGTACAACCAGGGAGTCGAAACAACGCCTGTTAAGTCATTTACAGACCTTACGATACAATGCTGAAAGATTCATATACTATTGAATGCTATGCTAACTTATACTATACACTGAAAAGGTTCCTATACTGCCTGTAGATACAGCAATCTGCATACATAACCAGAATTACCAACATGAAATTCAATCCCAAGTCTAATAATTCCAAAAGGGAACTAAAATTGGAGTAGTCAATTTTGAAAGAAAAATAAAGTGACTTACTGTCAAGTTCTTCTGTTGTCCAAGTTTTTGTAGTATATTCAGTTGAGCTGCTAGTGGTCCAGTAAACTAGAAGAAAGAGAGAGAGAGAGAGAGTGAAATAGGGTTTAACTTCCACTCAACACAAACTAGTTCATTTAGGGACTAACATATGGTTCAATTTTATTTCGATAATTTGTTTGCGCGTAGGGATCTTTAGCAATAGGAGGAAACTGGACGACCCGAGAAAACTAACGAGGTTGGACAGTAAACTGGAAAATAAACGATCTATTTTGAACTATAAAAAACGAATATATAATCTAAATATGTAAATAAAACAAATTCTGAAACTCATTAAACAAGAAATTTCAATCAAATATCTCAAAGTTTTATTAAAAAAATAAACCTAAAAAATGACAGATGGACGGAGAGAAATTATAAATATAGATAAAACTATCAGTTGAGCTAAATTACAGAACATTTTAATTCAAAGTCTAGTCGGCTAATATGCTTACACGTCTTCAAATCAACACAAAATAATTTTACCCTTTTTCGTTAAAATTCATCAGGACCACAACTCATCCAACTGAAACCCTGTTGTTAATAGTGAGAATAAGCCTATCCTACCTGTTGAGTCAGTTTATTCTGCATCTGAGTTGCCAAAAATATCATTAAACCCAGTTGCATGTTAGGATTCATCGCAGGACTGAGTGGTAAAGAGGGGGCAGGACCAAGTAAACCTATAAAAGAAAGACGGAAAACTTCATACTAAAAAGTTATAAAAATATCAAAATCAAGAGTTTTACATTGGTATATCCAAGAGCTAAATCTGCCTATTGCAGGTCTTTCTTTAGGCCTGAAATGTTACATAAACTATTAATTAGACATTTATTAACAAAACAAGACCATAATCAACTCTTGATTGCATCGAATACTCAAGATTTTAACTAGATTAGAACGGTTGCCATTTAAAAATTTAATTTAAAAATGGGAAAGCGAGGCTAAGTTCTTGAATATACCAGTGCCCCGGCTACCACTATGCACACATCTTGTCAAAACTACAAACGAAACAGTGATAACTTGGCTCAGAATGAAGCAATTTGAATGAAATTTTCAATATTTTCATTTTTCATTATCTATTTTTGAGCCATTATAACAAGAACGGCCAGTTCTTTATCTAAATCTTACATAATGTATCTATAATTTAAATAGTGTAAAAACCCTGAGGACAGAAATTCTGTAACATCCTTTATACGACTAGCTTGCCGTGGTCTAATAGATGATATGTATAAAAATACATGAATCAAGTCGACAATCTTTTAATGTCTAGCTGTCCGGATGGGAGTCAAATTGAGATTCTGTTTACACATTCAGGAGCACATAAAGCAACCCTTGGCATTTACAATGTTATAAATAGCAGGTGGAAGTGTCTCACTGTTTGGAAAAAGTTTCCCTCATAGCACAATGCATGGCATTAGCCCACTTCATGCAGCAGAAAGTAGACATTTAACAAATAAAATGGGGTTTAACACCCTACTGTTCTGCACCGGCTGAGCTAATGAAGATGGGGATATACCATACAGTATGCTATGAGGAAAATTTTGCCCAGGCAGCAGTGCTATGGCCTACTCTTATATAGAATTCCAACTGCCAAGGGATCTTTTTACATGCATGCTAATAAGTACACAGGACCTTGATTTTTTTATACTATCCAAACGACTAGACAGCTGTCCTTGTCAGGGCCTCCACCCTGCACCACTGACAAGGGGAAACCATGCTGGAAAGGATGTTTAAGGGCAACAGGAAATTTATATAACGGCTACTTTATATTTGAGTTTTTTTACTAACCTGGTTTGTTTGAAGGTGTAGTTATCTGATTTTGGTATACTGTTTGTAAATGATTCAAAGCTTGCATAAAGTTCTTCATTACTGGAATAAAACATACATAATTACAGAAAGCTCAACAATTTTGTAAACATATATAAAAAACCAACTTATACTTCCAGGTACATAGGATTTTGAAATGATCTAAGTTAGATCATTTAACTGTTTGAGTTTTATAATACACATGGGTCACGGTGGCTAAGTGGGTAAGACGCTGGCCCGCTATCCTGGAAGTTGGGTGTTCGATCCCTGCATTGGCCGAGAAAGTTCATCCAGATTCTCCGGCGAGGTTCCTCCTTGTCAGTGATGCAGGACGGAGAGTCTGACAAGCACAGCTGTCTAGTCGCTCGGATTGGACGAAAAACCAAGGTCCCGTGTACACATTGGCATTCACGTAAAAGATCACTTGACAGTTGGAATTCGATATAAGAGTAGGCCGTAGTGCTGCTGTCCGAGCAAAATGTCCCTCATAGCACACTGTATGGCGTATGCCCGTCTTCATTGACCCAGTTCGGAGCATTTTCATTTATAATACACAGATCATATCAGCTTAATCAAATAATTCAGAAACTCATTTAGCGAGTCAAAAAACAATTCTATTTCAAATGTCACATCCAATGTACATATTTTGAATCCTGGAAAATGTTTTCTTTAGAATCAAATAATTTGGCTAATATCAAACTACCAATGTGAAATAAGATTGCAATGTTATTTTTGTAATCAAGTGACAACATTATCTGTTCAAGTTCAATGAGAGAGAGAGAGAAATGGGGTTTACAGTCCACTCGACACAAACCAAGTGATTTTCGGACTAAAATTTCAATAATTCGCTTGTGCGTAGGGGTCTTTAGCAGTGGGAGGAAACCGGAGGACCCAGAGAAAACCCATGTCGTTGGACAGGCAACCCGAACTCCTTGTCACGTACAACTGGTGAATTGAAACCACACCAGTTGACTCAATGACAGATCTTATGATACAACACATATGCATTAACTCGAGTTAAATAAAATTGTTGAAAATTGATAAGGCTTCTTTATCTCATGAACATAAGCACTGAGTATAAATTTCATTTGCTCGATAACTTTGGTTCCATTGCTAAATTGTCGTATTCAAGTTTGTTATCTACACTTACATTCTGGGCTTTGATTGGCCAAACCTTTGACTAGAGGATTATTTATTGAGACTGGATTGGTTATCACTGGATCAGGTAACAAACTTCCTTTCGTTGGATTTTTACTCTCCTATAAAATGAAATAAAACAGTTAAAGTCGAGGATCGGCATTTGGATTTTTTGGACGATATCCAATTTTTCAAGGTTTAATCATCGCTCATACTAGGTCATTTCAGGGCTAACATGGTTCAATTTTTTTCCAATAATTCGCTTAGTCATGGGGTCTTTAGCAATGGGAGGAAACCTGAGGACCTGGAAAAAAACCCATGAGGTTGGACAGGCGACTCTACTACCTGTCAGGTACAAGCAGAAAATCAAAACCACGTCACTTGACTCAAATTAGATCATTTCAGGACTAACAGGGTATCTTTTATTCAATAATTTGCTTGCATGTAGGGGTCTTTAGCAGTGGAAACCGGAATTTGAGTCTGAAACCTTTACTACCTTCACCCCAAACCCCCAATCAAGATAACATGGTTGTAAATAAAGAAAGTAAACGTACCAATTTTAACATAATTCGGTTGTATATAAAGACAGCAGGTTTATCAGGAACACAGAATGATACATTGAGACTAACATCTTGTAATTTATAATCTGATAATTTAAACCATGTATCTCTAGCTTCACTGGCCTGTTTATATTCTATAATACCATAACCTAATGATTCATTATCCTTCAACATTATCTACAATTAGAAAATCATTACTAGCATAAAACTAAATTTTTTTGACAAAATTTTGAGCAAAAGGTAAAGGGGCATTATGGGAGATTAGATAAAGAGCTGGCAATTCTCATTAAAATAGTTAAAAACTAGATAATGTAAAGGGAGAGAGAGAGAAAGAAATGGTGTTTAAAGTCCACTCGACACAAACTAGGTCATTTCTGGACTAACATATGGTTTAATTTTATTTCAATAATTCACTTGCGCGTAGGGGTCTTTAGCAGTGGGAGGAAACCGGAGGACCCGGAGAAAACCCACGAGGTTGGACAGGCGACCCTACTCCTTGTCACGTACAACCGGGGATTCGAAACCACGCCAGTTGTCTCAATGACAGGCCGTATGATACAGCAAGCACATGCTAACCATTCAGCCATCCAAACCTCCTGCCCTGAATGGCTGCCATATCCAAAAGTTAATATACTATTTTGTAATGCAGCTCTACTTCGTACCACATCTGTGATGCACACGAAGACTAAATAAACTTTTTCAATTATTTTATTAATAAGTAGAATAATTACTTCTCACAGTATACTTAGTGTTTTCGACTAAATACATGTACTTAAAATATTGGTCATGCAGCTTAGTGCATGTTCTCAAGTGGAGCTAATTGTAGACTGGCAGCATTAGTTTAGTATGAAACATTTGATTACATCTCAATTATGTTCACACCACATCTTATCTCTGGACTGATAAGATGTTTAGAAGAATCTGCAGAATATATATTCTGGTGAACCAAATTACATTTCTTTTTAGCCTATTTATCTATGATATTGAATTATCATATCTTAGAAACATAAATATGTAACACTGATGATAGTTTTTTTTAGTGATGTAGATATTTTAATAATAAATAAATTCATTGTTTAATGTACTGCTGTATTCAAGTTGGAAATAAGACACCTGTCACAGATATTGTCAAACACAAATTCATGCTATTTCATCTTCAATAGAAGGCTTGATCTCACTTTAACTCTGTACATCTTATCAAGGCCTTCACGTAATACCCTGCATATTTCGGCAATAGTTTTCGATTGTCTACTGATTCCTCGAACATTGAGAATTCCTAGTCTCGCGCTTTCCAGCTAAAATGTCTACCTGTGATAATCAAATTGCAAAATTCAAGGTTTGTTCGACAATGTTAAGGTTTCCATGGAGGTTGCCTTGTTTGATTTGAGTGTGTTTGTGTCACAACCTCTGACTGGATGTTATCGTTCACGTGTTTGCATTAAAGAGAGATAACATAGCTATAAGTGTGGGAATTACAGACCAATCTAGCAACGTCTAGATGTTGTAAAACTCGCCATGATTCAGGAACATGACTTTTTAGGCACAATTTCTCTAGTGCTTGTAATTTTCAGGCAGAATTAAAATCATTTATTCCATGGACCTCATTCATGAAAACTGCCCCTTTCGTTACATTCGTTCCTGGAATTTCAAGTCCACTTCCACCAAAAGTGATATCGTAGACTACATCTTGTACTAGGATTTAAACTTTCAACCAATGAAATTGCTGCATCCTTAAAATCATTTAGTTGAAATAATTAGGCCCTTGGCCTGGTTGTATTCATACCTGACAATATATAGGACTAGCTATACAATTAAATATTTCTCGTAGTTTATAGGCTTCTTTAAATGACTTGGGTAGATTACTGATAAACAAACATCTAGAATACAGTTTACTATAGTCGGTACAGATATCGACATATTCAGCATGTAATTGACATCCTTCTACAACACGCCAATCAAATTCTTCCTTAGCATCGTTCCAATCTACTTCTTCATTAAACTGTACAAAACCATAATGAAGACTTTCACCTGATGAAAAAATAAATGAAATGGGGTTTAACATCCTACTATTCTGCTCAAACTGGGCTAATGAAGACGGGCATATGCCATACAGTGTGCTATGAGGGAAATTTTGACTGGGCTGCGGCACTATTTAATTCCAACTGCCAAGGAATCTTTTACGAAGATGGGCATACGCCAAAGAGTGTGATGTGGGGGAAATTTAGCCCGGACTGCATTGCTACAGCCTACTGTTATATGTATATATCTAATTCCAACTGCCAAAGGATCTTTTAAGTGTACAGGGGACCTCGGTTTTTTCGTGCCATCCAAACAACTAGACAGCTGTCCTTGTCAGACCCTTCATCCTGCACCACTGACAAGGGGGTGGAGGGCGGGGGGAGGTTAATATTTAGCTGTATTTAAAAACTTCAGAAGCATATTTCAGTCAAAGGGGAACAATTCTGTTGAATGCACACCAAAAATGAGATATAAATGAAATGAAATGGGGTTTAACCTCCTAATTTTTGGACACTTAAAGGTCGACGGAAAAGCATCAATTTTTTTTTTAAATAATGCAAGTAATTATGTCAACATATCCTTTCCATAAGTATAACCCGAGCCCGAACGTCAATAATACCTGCAACAGGTAAATTTCAACATTAGTAATTTCCGCCGTTCTCCGTCGGTAGTCGGAACTTTCCGTCAATAAGCAATCAGTGACGTCATTTTAGTCCTTCTGCACATAGAAATATAGACTAGAATATGAGCAGAAGGACTAAAATGACGTCAAATTTACGGAAAGTTACGACTACCCACGGAGAATGGCGGAAATTGCTAACGTTGAAATTTACCTGTTGCAGGTAATATTGACATTCGGGTTCGTGTTATACTTATGGAAAGGATATGTTGACATAATTACTTGCATTATTTAAAAAATTTATGAACCTTTTCCGGTGACCTTTAAAGCTTAAATGTATATGAAGCAGGGTCTCTTTTTTAAATACATGTACAGTGACATGGCAATCATAATGGCAGGGTGAATATCTGAAAAAATAATCAGCCCACAATTTGGTTGAGAAAGAGGGAGAGAAATGGGGTTAACATCTACTCGACACAAACTAGGCCATTTCGAGACTAACATGGTTAAATTTTATTTCAATAATTTGCTTTTGCGTAGGTGTTACATGTATATGAAATGATCAGTTCATATCTTTGTAAATACTGAATGAATTCAACAAACCCGGTCATTCTGGTACTAACACATGGTTCAATTCTATTTCAATAATTGGCTTGCGCGGGGTCTTTAGCAGTGGGAGGAAACCGGAGAAACTGGAGAGAGAAATGGGGTTTAACGTCCACTCGACACAAACTAGGTCATTTCGGGACCAACATATGGCTTTAATTTTTTTCAATAATTTGCTTGTGCACAGGAGTCTTTAGCAGTGGGAGGAAACCGGAGGACCCGGAGAAAACCCACGAGGTTGGACAGGCGACCCTGCTCCTTGTCATGTACAACTGGGGATTCAGGACCTGGAGAAAACCCATAAGGTTGGACAGGCGACACTACTCCTTGTCACGTACAACCAGGTAATTGTAACCATGCCAGATGACTCAATGACAGACCTTATGATACAAAGCGCACACACTAACCATTCAGCCATCCAATCCCCCTTGGTTTAAAAAGACTGACAGAGGGATATCAATTAGACAGAGAGTTTATAATATTCATCAATTTACCTGTTGTTTCAAATCGCATCAAGAAACATCTTTCAACGGTTGAGTACTTGGTCACCAAATCAGAAAAGTCTTGATCTGTGAAATGTTTAGGTAGATGGGCAATACACAGAAGATTTGTATATGGTAATATACACACAGATACAGGTGTATCCTTGATAGATTGACCATCTAATTCATGGACAACTTCTTCAGCTAAACAACCATCATTTAACGTTACTATTGCTGAAAAATAAAACACCACAAATTAAGCTTCTATTCAGATGTAAACAAAAACCAGGTTTTGGCCAAATCCAGCTAGTTAATGACTTCCTACTAGTATCTAGTGTTAACTCTCATCCACGGTCATTAATAATTACTGACAGGGTGTGCACAACACAGAACACTTAAAATTCCAGGAATTTTCCAGGAGTTATTTACCAGATTCCAGGAGTCCCTGTATAGAATTCTACATCATAATGTAGGGGTTTTTTTTTGCTTGAAGAACATTGTTCGACTGACTCGAGTTCATTTACGGCAAGGAACTTGAGAACTTTTGAAGAAACATTCGATGATTACGTTCAGGTTATATCTTATATATAGCAAAACCACAAATGTTTAATTTTCCAGGAGTTTCAAGGAGTAATCATGTTTTTCCAGGATTTTCAAGTACTGGAAATAACATTTGCATTTTTCCAGGATTTTCAAGGAGTTTCAATGAGTGTGCGAACCTTGACTGGAAGCAACCATTTAACTACATGTATATTTTCTACCTTTTCCCTTACTTTTGTTTACAAGCTTTGGGATGTAGCAAAGCACATGTAACTCTGATCAATTCTATAACCATATGCCCAATAATTATGGCTACAGTAGCAAAAGTGTTTTGACTCTAATCTGATTACACTGACAGCAGTACAGATCTTTCTGATACTCAATTTGAGTAAGTTTTCCAACTTCTGTGTAGGATTGTATAAATTATTTAAAAAAAGAACAACTTCCAATGTTATAAGCATAGCATGTACAAATGCGGTCAAAACAGGTTCAACACTGTTTTAAAGAGCTAAGAAAAATATTCATTTCTCAATCTTTTTAAAAAAAGCCATCGTACCTGTAATGGCTACTGACTGTCCGATTCAATACGGTGCACAGAAAATAAATGATATTTCGCGGATTAATTAGTTTGAGTTTTCTAACTGTATTATTACGACCAATGTTTTCTTCATTTTGACTGTTATACTTTTGCTGTTTAAAGCCTTCTGCAGAAATTATCGAGAAACAAATTGGTGAATTTAAACATCATGTAACATACATGTACATTGTCTGAATCCTTAACTTCTACTGTCCAGTTCCTTGTACAATTCATCATTAGCTGATAAATCCATTTAATACTTGTAATTGTATGATTTTGATTTCTATCCCTACTCAAAAAGTGTAAAACTCAATCTTTGACACCTCCAGTTTTACAAGTTAAGTACCATAAATTCTTAATTTAGGTCTGAGAATTTGCTGGCCAGATCTTAAAGAAGCAAAGCACTCAGAATGTATAGTGTGTATGTGATAAAATCAGAAAACACTGGCCATATTATTGGTTAGATATCTTGAACTAATCATTGAGAAGAAAGTATTCTTTGTATTTAATTGGACACTCATTAGCCAATCTAGCCTTTACAGTTATAATTACTGTTTTAAAGATTATGGAGAAACAGAACATCTTTCCTAGCTCTTTAAAATGTTTACTTTCTGTCCGTAGCAAATAATAAATACTATAAAGAATACAGTTTAAAGTTTAAACCTAATAAGAGTTAATTCCTTTTTTTTCTATCATTATCAAAAGGTAAATCTATCACTTGTATTAAAGATATTCATATTGATGATAAAAAGCTGCATGTTGTAATACTCTATCATATGTATATCAAAAGATAATTTTATTCATCTATTGTGAAATGTGTTAGAAATGTTTGTAGGCTAAACCTCTATATTCATCAATATAAGTCTGGGGACATACCTTGCTTTACATTGATGTTTATGTCCACATCTTTTACATCATATTTCTGCAGAAGCTGTTCAATGTCCTAAAACAGAAAGTCATTATTCAATTTGATTATCAAATTGTTTTGAATAACTTAAGGAGTACCATGGATCAAATCTTTGGCATGTGCAGGAAGAAATTAAAACTCTTGAATGACTGATTGCCATGTCACTTTGAGTATTTGGCTTTATTTATATTTACACTGCTCGCTTCCAGCATTTTGAAAATTTGACACAGGTCAAATGGGTATCACTGTTTTCACAAAAGAGCAATAGTTATCCCACAAATTACTACTCAAAGTAATTCATGTCATGGCCAGCGTTTCTAATTACCTCATACTCATAGTCATATCCTACCATGATAACAACCATGATTGGCACGAAGCGATACCAGCGTTTATTCACTAAATTTAGTGTTATTTATTCTTGGTCTACTTCGCAGACAATGGCCAAAAATCGATTGCAATGATGCAATTAATAACTAGCCTCTTTTATTTTTAAGTAACCAGTACGCTGCAGTTGCAGGTGGTGGTCGAGAATTTAGTCAATAGAAAAAGAAAATAGGCAAAATGCCAAGCAAACCTTTCTGTTCGAATTCGGCGGTATGTTTTTGATCTGTATTTTTCGCCCTTGGTTGAATCTAATGCGCCCAGATTGCGTGGGATCCTCAGACTTGGATACACTTTGAAGGCCTTCTGTTGGTGCCGATTTTTCATCATTTTTGGAACGTCCATTGTCTTCTCTTGGACTAGTATTGCTAGATTTATTCGGCAAGGCATGGGTTCCCTTTGAGGTGGCTGCCATTTTGAACGACGACTCCCGTCATGCATGCGTGACCTTGACCTTTGTTTTTTACGAGGTGCGTGAAATAAAAGTAATCTGGCTTTTATAGTATGTAAAAGAAAAAAAGAATATCGCAGTAAAGCAAAAAAGCCTTATTAAATATTGTCAGTTTTTATTAAAATTTATACTCTCATGTAACATCTTAGAGTCAAAAATGTAATGAAAGATGAATGTTTCGAATTCTAAATAACTCGAGGAAGTTTATGACCCCGGTGCTTGACCTACTTTCCACCGACCAGATATATTACCCAGAGTCCCTTGTACTGCTCAGATTTACATTTCCCGGTTGGAAGTAAACACGGCAAGTGAAGCTGACAGATCGAAACGGGTTCTTGTCGGTGAAAAACGATAATTAAAACGTCGTTTCAATGTGAATTGGAATACAGATAAATACACCGTGAATTGTAACCGTTGAAAATTGTGTGCCAGTTATGCGCAGAGGAGAACACTGTAAAACATAAAGGATTATCATTACAAAATTGAAACTTTCTGTTAACTCTAATTCATTGCATTTCAACTGTCAAGACAGTCACATTGTTTTTCATTGAGCTTAGTGGCCTGTCTAGACGTGGGCCATAAGACCATTCAAACGATATGTAATTTGGATTTTAAAAATTTAATTTGAAGCAGCATGACAGCTGAGGTGATTACTAATAGTAATATGAATAGCCAAAGACCTCCAATGAGAAGGAGTAGAACTTGTACGACAGATAATACAAGACGACCCAGAAGTTATTTTGAGTGTGTTCCTGATGATTATGACAGTCTTCAGATATCAAGGGAAAGTTCCCCAACCCTTAACCAGGATTCCCCCCAGTCATCATGTCAGGCTCTGAAACATGCCGTATCGGCTCTTACAAGACTGGATGATTTTGTGTGTGAAAAATTGGGAAACGGATTCTTCTCTGAAGTATACAAGGTAAGACTTGACTGGATAAAAAGAATTCTAGACTTGTAATTATTTCATTTGCTTAAAGAGTGTTTGTCATTTTATTGAAATCATTTTCGTTAAGACTCATGGTTAAAGGTATACAAATCCTCAAATACATGTAATTGTAAATATCGTTTAATAATGGATAAATAAGCAATTTCTATTGATTTAACCTAACTTGACTTTTAAGTTAGATTGAAAATGTAATAAATCATAAGATTGTGGACTTAAACTGGCAGACCATAAAGTTAAACTGGCACTCCATGGGATTCCACTCCATTACCATTACAGACAGACATTAATATATTTTCAACAAGCCTACAGTAGTGCATCCAGATCACACTATACTAGTATGTACAACACAGGTACATGTAGGACAGTGCTAGAAGTCTTTTATTGCATGTACATGTACATGTATTCATGTAAATTGCTATGAAAGGTTTCTAGTCTGTGATTCCCAATTCCTATCAGTTTTAATATACACTCATCTCATCATTACATTGTTCAAGGCTTAGAAATCTACAAATAGAATTGTTAGTTTTGTAAAATTTCTTAATGAGAAGTGGTATTAGGTGTTCTAAAAACATGTATGGGGGGGTTGGATGGCTGAATGGTTAGCGTGCGTGCGCTGTATCATAAAGTCTGTCATTGAGTCGACTGGCATGGTTTCGAATCCCCGGTTATACGTGGCAAGGAGTAGGGTCACCTGTCCAACCTCGTGGGTTTTCTCCGGAGCCTCCGGTTTCCTCCCACTGCTAAAGACCCCTACGCGCAAGCGAATTATGTAAATAAAATTAAATCATATGTTAGTCCCGAAATGACCTAGTTTGTGTCGTGTGGATGTTAAACCCCATTTCTCTCTCTCTCTACAACATGTATGCATAGACTCTGATCAGTGTCTCAATGCCAGACTGTAGATATCAGCATCCTTTTTTGGGTATGTTAATACCGGGGTACTCTAACATTTCAAGATTAATTTGGTTATGGACTCTGAATAATTAGTTTATTTTTTAATGGAGAAAGATTTAAAGTATTAAAGTAAACAGAGAAAGTCTTGTAATGGTTGTGAATTTGCGTAAGATGATTCAAAGGAATGTTAAATCCAGCTGAGTCGAGAGATATCAGATTCCATCAGTTCTGTCACATTATGTTTTATGGCATTCTTCACCCCTTTGTTAATTTTATGACAGCTTATTGTCTGTAATCTATTTAACACTATAATTATTCAATACACATCAGGTCTAATGGTTTGGGATTAATTGATTAATCACTGTTTTTAAGAGGAGAATGATCAAAGTGCTTTAAATCTTAAAGGGCTTTAATATAAGGAAGAGATGGGGGTTAAGAAAAACATAGCATATCCGGTACTTGACAATGTTTATGTTAAGACATGTGCTTGTAATGGGATTATCATCAAGTTTTAAGACCATTGATTATTGACACTAACATATTGGGGTTTTTCAAGTCAAGGTCAGTTTAAACATTAGGGTGCAATCTTTTTGTTGTCATACATGGTTTCTGATTATTTGTTATTGCTTGTCTATATAATTGCCCTATCTAGCCCTACACATTTGTTAACTTCACTTTCTTGAAAACATTAAGAGAATACTCTTCGAAATAAATCAGTAATTGATTTTCCGTAAGTACATGTATGTGTAATTAATAGTTTATTGCTTCATTATTTTCATGATCGAAATGATTTAGAACAAACTTTATAAAGCAGTAAATACAGTTTTCATTGATAAAGTTTTAGACTATTTATTATTGACACTAATAAATCATTGGTTTTACAGGACAGCTAGGGTCTGTTGACACATTAGGGAACTGGAATGAAATGGAGTTTAAGTCCTACTGTTCTGCTCTGATTGAGCTCATGAAGACAGGCTTACGCTTATGAGGGATATTTTGCCCTGACAGCGGCGCTACGGCCTACTCTTATATTGAGCTCCAACTGCCAAGGGATCTTTTATTTGAGTGCTAATGTATACACAGGACCTTAGTTTTTCGACCCATCCGACTGACTAGACATATATCCTTATCAGGCCCTCCTTCCTGCACTTCTGACAAGTGGAAACATGCCGGAAAATCTTGATGAACTTTCTCGGCCAACACTGGGATCAAACACACGTCCTCCGGGCTAGCGAGCCAGCATCCTATCCACTTAGCCACCATGGCTCCCACATTAGGGAACAGTACATGTAGTATTAGTAAGGGCTTATTATAGAGTAACTTCACTATTTTTATCATCAAAATGATTTTGAACAAGCCTTATAAAGTTTCAATTGATGATTAATTGAATACCCAGCTTGTTTTTATTACACAGCTAATGGCTACACCAAATTGATTACAGTAAAAAATCCTTATGCTATTTGAAATGGAATTTGTTTTTAGAATATTTAATATGATATGAATATATTGAACACAACCGTGTTTAATGTAACCCAAATGAAGTGTATTGCATAAACCAGTTATAAATAGAATGCAATTAATTGATTTTTACCCGCTATTTTGAAAAAGATCATACAGGCCTGTAATTAATGAATTTAGTTGTACCTTGTACCTGATAATTTAGATTGGTACTTCATGTGGACATTTTTATTTGTTTGTGCTGTACATTTTTTAAGAAATGATGAAAATAGACAAATTGGTGCAGGACAAAATGTCAGATACTAGAGAGATTTGACTGACAATGCCTGAATTTGTGCTTGACAATGCCTGTGTCGCTGGACGACTCATTTTCACGCTTAACGTAAATGTAGCTCATGAACATATTATTCACGTAAATGTACATGTAATTAAGCCCATTCAATGCATTGCTGTGATCTATGGATTAATACATGTACTAGGAGATGTGACTGAAATGCCAGAATTTGTGCTTAACAATGCCTGTGAAGGACAGCTTATTTTCATGCTTAACGTAGCTCATGGACATATCATACACATAATGAGGCCCACTCTATGCATTGCTGGCTTAATCTATGGATTAATATTTGTTATGATTGTTTTTCTGTTAATTAAGTAGGTTATCAGTTGGACAGGTGTAAATCTAGGCGTGGCCCATGTACAGGTATTTGATATCTGGCACAGTTATTGGAGATTGATATGATAGATATGATTCACATACACTATGATAAACTTCAATAAATAACAACAAGATATACTTGAACCATATCCTAATCTCATTGTATGACTTAATATGTAATTACACACTACAGATCGTGAGTTAAGGGTTTATAAGAATTTCGCAATATTTATCATAACGGTATAAAGTTCAAAAAATTCTGCATATAAGGCAATATTGAAATGTCGGCAACATCAATGGATCTTTACATTAACTAGGGGTGTTATTTTAGCTGGGCGTGTGTTGAAATGAAAATCTTTAGAAACAAGTGTTTTATGGACATGAACTGCTATGCAAATATTACTTACATAATGTAATAATAAAAATATATTGTCAATCATCTTACATGTAGGTACTGATGTAATCACTTTATAAATAGATTGATTTTACGCATGGTTATTCATAACAAGACACAACACAAGGTATATGAATGACTACTTCTCTGTTAGTTAATAACAGCTCACGTTTTCAAGTTTAAAATGACAAATATCCATTCATTCATTCCTGGGGTTTAACATTGACTTCTACGTAGGGTGATATCGCAGACAAATATTCATCTAGTCGGCCTATTTATACATCGGTTGTACATGACAAGGAGTAGGGTCGCCTGTCCAACCACGTGGGTTTTCTCTGGGTCCTCCGGTTTCTTCCCACTGCTAAAGACCCGACGCGCAACTAAGATTAAACCATATGTTAGTCCCGAAATGACCTATTTTGTTTCAAGTGGACGTTAAACCCCATTTCTCTCTCTCTTCTATTTATACATATTTTTAGCTTACACCAAAACTGATTAATATAATAAGAAGAAACCATTAAAACAGTTATAAGCAACTGTAATAAAAAATCAGACAATTAATAATAGATAATGTAATTAGCACTTTAGTAGTAATAACAAAAGGATAGTCAGTACCTACATGTAGGATGTTACGAATAACAGGGAGAATACTAAAGATCATAGAATCAACATTAATAGGGTTTCACAATATCACAGAGAAGTAGTTATATTCATACTCTGTGTTGTGTTTTGTTATGAATAGTTTTAACTGTACTTCAAGATGTCTTTTGACTGATTTACCTTGGTGGAAGCGGACATTAAATAAAGCTATTTCACACACACTCTAGTTATTTAATGAATTCATGCATGGTTATCAAACTTGTCTACGATATCACCCATGGTGAAAGTGGATGTGAAACTCTAGGAACGAACGGTTATCAGACTAGTTGTAATGTACATGTACATTTGACAGTGTCTTCAATATTTACTCACAAATCACAATAGCCTCAAAGAAATAACAAATTATAAGGGAAAGTCCGAGACTTAACAGATGACATAGAACACTGAAAATTAAGTGGGTTTAGCTATCTAAATCAGCCGCCAAACACACATTGAAACTGAAAGTTAGCATTTCTTTGAAAAAGTGTCACTGAGCTTCAAATAGCTTTAAACTACTAGGATAAATGTTTGTGACTTTCTGTCTCGCATGTTAACCTGTTTGATTCACTAAAATGTCTGGGATAGATTTTTAAGAGAGTTTAATCAGGATTTTCTAAAATAATTGACCATATTATTTTTGAAAACATCTCCTTTTAACAATAGTACCCCTGAAGCTTGCATTTATTTCTAACTTTCTTGATTTAAGGTTTCGATTCCCTGGTTGTATGTGACAAGGAGTAGGGTCGCCTGCCCAACCTTGTGGGTTTTCTCCGGCTCCTCCGGTCTCCTCCTAGTGTTAAAGACCCCTACGTGCAAGCGAATTATTGAAAAGAAATTAAACCATATGTTAGTCCTGTAATGACCTAGTTTGTGTCAAGTGGACATTAAACTCTCTCTTTGATACAGGTAACCCTGACATCCATGTAAAAAAAG